ACGTTTCTCCTGCATGTCCAGCGGCGTAGGCCCCTCTCTCAGGGTTCCCTTACCACTGTTTCCTGGTCAAAGGAATAGACAAGGTAACCCCTCTCCTGCCCTGTCTGGGGTGCGGGGCATCTCAGCATACAGGCAGCACAGGTGGGAAGACCTGCTGGAGCGTGGCTGCCAGGCCAGGGTGCAGGGCTGTGCTGAGGGATCTCCCAGCAAGCTCAGCCCCTTGAGGCTTCCCCACCATCCTACTCTGCCAAACCCCTCCCCCCAGAAAAGAGCACGCTCCCCTTCTACCTAGAAATAAGGGTGGCCTTTTCTCAGGAAAAGGCCAGCCAGGTCTGGCCGCCCGTCGGGAAGCAGCCACCCCTCCCTGGGCACAGGGGCGGTCCCTCCTCAGCTCATAGCTAACTCCTTCAGTAAACCTCGCCGCCCGCACTGCCTTTCCCAGAACAGAGACTGGCAGGCCAGGAGAGGAAGGCTAGCAGAAGCCAGCTTGGCATCTGGGCCTATCATCCTGGGGACGTGAAAAGTGAAAGAGGTGGCTCAGGCTGGGCTCTGGGCACCCACAAGACCCACCTGCTCCGATCATCCTCTTGGCCCCACCTGGCCCCCCGCACCCTGGGACTTCAGTCCTTCATACGGCAAAGCACACAGCTTTCCTGCAGTGGGCGTCTGCTGCCTGCCAGACCGCATGCGCTGGCTGTTCTTTATCTCACCCAGTGCTCACACCAGCCTGCAGCGTGGAAAGTAGTCTCCCCATCTTATGGATTAAAAGACAAACAAACAAACAAACAAACCAACACCAAGGCTCAGAAAGGTTCAGTCACTTTCCAGGGGCCACAGAGCACGGAAGTGGCATGGATGGGGTTCGGACTCAGGGCTCTGGTTCCAGAACTGAGGCTCTGGGCCTCCTCGGTCTCCTCATCTGCCAGGCTGCTGTCCACAAGCTCAGTTCTGCCCTAGAGCAAGAACAAGCATGGTGGATGGTACTTACCGTCTCCACAGGGCTAGTTCCCAGAGGGTGCAAAAGCAGCTGTGCGTTGTGGGGCTGACTGTCTGGACCCTGCTGGATTTGGCGGAGGTTGTGTCAGAAGGGAGGAGGTTGCTGTAGGAGGTTGGGACAGGAGAGGGGGGCTGCAGGACCCCTGCCTAGGGGAGCTGTCTGAGGAGGACAGGAGCCAGGCTGAGGATGGCTCTGAGACACCTTGGGCAAGGAGGCAAATCCCAAGACGTCTCTTCTTGGGCCCCACTTCCCAGCATGCTTTGCTGTCACATATCAGCTGAGGAAACAGCAAGCCGTGCTGCAAAAGCAGTGACTTCCATGCTCCTGGAGCCCCTGGAGGCAGCCCCACATGCTGGAGGTTAGAGGGACTACAGGGACATGCACACACCCAGGCCAGCACACCAAGCCGCACTGAGGACTCCTGACACCGGCCTCAGGCACAGACACCAGCTGGCCACCCATGGGTGCTGACTCTTAGTCCAGGAGAATACCAGCCGCCACCACGCCGACAGTAGTGCAAGGTTTCTGAGCTCCCACTCTGTGCTCGGCCCCAAGCTAAGCTGCTGTATCTTCTTTATTCACTTCCACACAGCCAGCTTCTTTAATTACTCCCTTACCAGACAGAGGAGACAGAGGCTCAGAGAAGTTTAGTAATTTGTTCATAATCACACAGCTAGGAAGTAGCAAGCCAGGGCCTGACCTTGAATTGTTCTCCCCGCAGATTCCTAACTTTCCCCCTCCACCCCTAGAGGGCCCTCCCCCACATACACACGCGCGCACACTCAGCTTCACACAGCCCTGCATCTCTCTGCTCACGGCACACACACACAGCACGTGCCCACTCACAGATGGGCGCACACATAAAGTACCAACATTCCGGGACACGCATTCTCAAGGAACCGCCTTACCCTCGTGCGCGCAGCAGATATGTACCTTGTCCACTTCTGTGCTGGTTAAGACTCCGGGCCCTGCAGCCGGACTGCTTGGGTTGAAAGTCCGGCACTGCCTCTTCCTAATTGTCATCTTTCTCTGCCTTAGTTTCCTCATCTGTAAAATGGGGATGATGGCGACAGTAACACTTAGTTGACAAGATTCCTAAAGATTAAATACAGTGTTGCATGTAAAGTCAGTGCCGGTCCCCGAGCGCTCTTCTCAGTGTCTGGCCATCACCATCACGTATGATAAATGCACAGACACGCCTCTGTTCCAGGCGTGTGTGGATATGTACATGGGCATAAGCCACCTCCCATGTCCTCAGGAATACATAGCCAGGCCCACACTCCCCCGCCAACACACACACGCCCACACACTCTCAGCCTCCGCAGGAAAGAGGACCCCCCTCGCGTGCACTGGAGGTGAGCCTGGCAGGCCCACGAGGCTGGCTGACGCCTGAGTTCTCTGGCCAGCCGGGCCACGCCCCGGGGCTCAGGCTCGAGTTGTTCCTCACTGGAGCAGCAGTGGCTTTGGTCAGGAGCCCTGGTTGCAGCAACTGACGTCTGAGCTGCTGGCATCTGGCACGGGCCTGTCAGCAGCCCTGGGTGGGTGCAGCCCTGGGGCGGCCTCCCCCGGAGGCCCGACTGTGAGACACGTGCCAAAGCGCCCGGGAGGTCTGTGTGAAGCTGGGGCGGACACTTCTGCGCATGTGTGCCCGTGCCCACCTTGGACGGTGTTCGAGCCTGTCCATCTTGGCTCGGTGAAGGTGCCCACAGCCAAGCCAGCAGCAAGTGACCGGAGGTTTAAGGCCACCCAGCCCCGTTCTGCACATTTTAAGGCTAGAATGGAAGGAGCCCAGGCCAGTGTTGTCAGGCAAGGTTGGTGGGGACCGCCAGGCCTTGAGGATGATGAGGGTCTCAGCCCCAAGTCTTGGGCGTGCAGTGGGATCCTAAGTTGCTGCCCTGGGGTGGGGAGATGCTCACAGTCAGCTGATAATGCAGGCTCCCAGGCTCCCCAGAAGTTTCTGGTGCAGCAAAGATTTTGAGGTGGGAAGGACCCAGAGACAGCCCTGGCACGTCCGTGGGGCACCCGGGCAGTATGAGGAGCACAGAATCACTCTGCCCTGCCCATTGGGCACCTCAGCCACCATTCGGCCCCCCAGCAAGTCTCTGCCTGTCCTGGGACCTCCGCGTGCGCTCTGCAGAACGCCTGGGGCTCAGGCTGATGCTTCTTGGCAGAAACTGGGGGGGTTCCTGAAAGTGCTCCCCCACAGGCTGAGAGAAGGGGGGAGGACATACCAGGCAGAGACCCTGCAAAGTCCATGCCTTTTGGCTTCCTTGGAAATTGTCCGAGCCGTGGCTACACTGTGGTGGCCTGGGCCTCGGGAAGTATGGCCAGACTGATCTAGGCAGCCCTCTCCGTGGCTCCATGACTGGTAGGCCCAGAATGTACAAGTGGTGGTGGGTGTAATGAAGGTGGCCCCCACACACCCCACGGGAGCGGGGAGGGAAGACAAGGGAATTGACCTGAATCTGGCAGAGAGGGGAGGGAGACACCTACCTCAGGTTCCAGAGGGCGGTGAAGCAGCCAAGGCCCTGTGCCAAATAGGCCTGGGCCTCCGGAGTCCAGGCCCCTCATCTACGGGTTCTTTTCTTTTTCTTTTTTTACTTTGGTGTTTTAGAGCAGTTTTGGGTTCACAGCAAAATGGAGCATAAGGTATAGAGAGCTGCATGTCCTCACACATGCAGAGACCCCCCCAGCATCCATATTCCCATCAGTGTGGTGCATTGTTACTACTGATGAACGTGGATTTGCATACCCTGACCACCCAGGTCAGGTTCACCTCTGGGGTTGCTTGGGCTGCACTTTCTGTGGGTGTGGACCGACATACAATGGCGTGTATCCATCATCATGCGTCGTGCAGATGCCCCGTGTCTCAAGAGCTTTGCAGAGCCGCAAACAGTTGAATCCCCAGAAAGGGTGGGTGCCGGGGGCACTCAGGACTAGATTGCAGACTGTTTGCTCTCCCAGGCCTGTCACTCAGGGCAGTGAGGTCCCAGCTGAAGACCTGGGAGATGACCCTGGATTCTGAGCCCTGGGCAGTGTTTTCCTCTGTCCCTCCCCACTGGCGCCCCCCGCAGCCCTCGGGCAGCCGCCCGCAGCTCCCAGGGCTAAGCCCAGCTGGGAGTGCCTGGGAAGCCCCTCCAGGGCTCCCCTCCTTGGTGCCCAGGTGAAGCCCTGGGTCTTTTGACAAACAACGGTGCAGGTTTGGGTTGGTGAGCTCTGTCGTGGGCAGGAAAGAACTGGTGCCAGGTTGCTCTGGGGACAGAGAAGCATCAGAATGGGGTGGGGGTGAAGACAGGACCCTGTGAAGAGTACCCACTAAGAAGGGATGAAGGCATTTAGCAGACTTGTAAGATCTGGGTGCTCAGACTGCTTTGCTCAGTCAGCGTTCGCTTGAATGAGGAATGGACAAACCAATGAATGAAAGGAGAGAATGAATGAGCCCTTATCATTCGGCCGTGACCGTCAAGGGTCACTCCAGGGTGCAGTGCCCACTTACTGTGATTGACATGTCAACACACTTCAGGGCGGCTGCGAGGAGCACAGACGTGGGAATGCCGCTGACCCGTGATGGGGAAGGGGGGACAGTGGCCGCGGGAGGCGTCCGTGAGGCAGGGACCCCCGGATGCCTTTGGAGCAGAGAAAGCGCCTGACTCCGGGCCCACCAGCGGTCCTAACGCACAGGCCCTAAATGGGCTGTGTTTGGTCTTTCCGACAAGGTGACTTTCGTACACTGGACGTATTGTTGTTTCCGTTTTTAATTCTTTTCATCTAACACGTGTGGAAGCACGCGTCGCAGCCCATCAGGCCCTCTTCTCGGGGAGCGTGCTGCCCTGTCCCTCCCCCCTCAGGCAAGCACAGGCTCCTTGGGGCTGCACGTGGGCCAGGCCTCTGCCCGGCTTCTGGGCTGACGGGCGCTGCGCCTGCCCCTCCTCACCTAGGCCCCCGCCGCCTCTGCCGTCCTAGTGGGTTCTCATGGTTCCATTCTCTCTCGTCCCCTCTGCAGGCTGGTGGTTTGTGAGCACCTCCGAGGAGCAGGGCTGGGTCCCTGCCACCTACCTGGAGGCCCAGAATGGCACTCGAGACGACTCAGACATCAACACCTCCAAGACTGGGGAAGGTGAGGAGGGCCTGCGGGCTGCGGGGTGATGGGTGATGGAGCAGGTTCGGGGAGCCGGCTGACCCAGGGATCCCCACCCCCGGCCTAGGAATGAGTCCCCCTCCTCTTGGAGGCAGCTTTCTTGCTCTTCTCCCCAAACGCGTCAGAACCCCTGAAGAGGGCTGGACTTTCTAAGCCCCTTCTCTCTCAGTCCGACCCATACAGGGGGTTGACTCCCCTCCTATCCCAGACCTGCCCCTGCTGGCCCCATGTGGGGCTAAAATTAATGGGGAAATCCCCTAGGGGTTCAGATCTCAGAGTTTGGCACCACTGGGGCAGAGACGAGTCTCGGGGCTAGCCTCCCGAAGCCCTGGGTTCCTCTAGGGGGCCCCACAGAGACCCACTGGCCCCGCCCCACCCTGTGCAAGGCCGCCCCCGAGGGGCTGTGTGCATGCAGCTTCCGTGCCTGTGCCGTTCTGCCTGGAGGCCTCTGCTCCGGTGTCTGTTAGTCTAGCCGAGGGCGCAGACGCGGAGCGCAGGCCTGTGAGTCACTGCTCAGCGCTGCAGTCTCCGAGGGGTGGCTCCAGCCTCTGCACCATCAGCCTCTCTGATTGACTCTGGTCCAGTGTGGCTTTTCTGGGTCTTCCTAGTTGCATTTCAAGGAGCCTGCCCCTGGGCCAGCACTGGCCTGGGCAGCCTGTCCGTGGACTCAGGTATTCCCCAGAGCAGGCTGCCAGAGCCCAGCGAGTGTGAGGCACCCCTCGTTCCCGGCCGCCAGCTCCTAATGACTTCCAAACCTCCCGTGTCCTGGCAGCAGGCACGCCTGCCCTAACGGTCAGTGGGGACCGTCCAAATGGGCATGCCTGAGAGCCAGGGATGGAGGCCTGCCACCTGGGGCTCAGGCCACCTCCAGGCCTGCCCCCCGCCCCCTCTTCCCCATCGTGCAGGCCAAAGTAAGCAGCCTGCCAAGCACCAGCTCCCTGTTCATCCTTCCCCTAAATAAATGTCCGTTGCTTGGCAGGCAGTGGGAGCCCCACCCTTGCTCCTGTGAGGCTTCGCTTCAGTCCCTCAACCAGAACCGCAGTCCCTGCGGTGCACGTCCGCCTCGTGGCAGGTTTCCGGGGACCAGGGCCCATCAGGAGGGGCTCCAGTGTTCAGGCCAGGTGCTCAGTCCCTCCCGGCTGTTTCCTAAGCCCTGGAGCGGAGCCTGCACCCCATCTCCCCACTGTTTCCATTGCACTTCTGCGGCAGTGGAGGCTCGTGGCCCCTGAGCCGGGTCTGCTCTAGTTCGTCTGCAGTCACCAGGCCTCAACCCCTACCCGGGGCCTCTCAGAATGAACAGTCCCTCAAGTGTCCTGAGGTCTCATTCACCCCAGGTGTTCGGCCGGTCCATTACATGCCATCCCCACTCCCCCAGGAGGGTGCTGTTGGGATCCCCCCTTTCCTGATGCTGGACCTGCAGCTTCCAGAGGGTTAGCCGCGTGCTTATCTTTGTGAGACCTTGGCCCTGGGTGGCCTGCTTTGCCCCATGGTCCTCAGCAGTGGGCCACACACCTCTCCATGGAGCGTTTTGCTTCTAAGCTGCTCTAGGAGGGCGTGTTTGTGGCCCCGGAGCCCTCCTGGAAAGACCGTGTCAAGAGTGTCAGAGTGGAGGTTTGGGGTGCATGGTGGAGGAACAGGACGCTGGTCCAGGGCAGGAAAGAGCCTGAGCAGTGTGTGCCTGGCAGACACCAGCCTGGCTGGAAGGGGGCGCAGTGCTTGGCACAGAACAAGCAGTAGCAGGTGGTAGAGGGCTTTGACTTTGACAGAGAATCAGGCGGCCAGTTGCAGGCTCTGCACTGGGGGAGTGCATGCACCCAGGGTGACCCTCCTTAACGCAGGGTGTTCTGCATGCTTTTGGTGGGACCTGTGTGCCAGTACTCCTGGCAACATTTGGGCAGCTGTGAATGCCGCCACCATGAATCTGGGCATCTTACCAGCTTTACAGAAGGGTTCCGTGCCCAGGGCCCTGTCAGCAGACCCAGGGTTTCACCAGGGCTGAGGTGGAGATGGCCCACCTTGGTCCCCTCAGCGGCCACCTCCACACCAGCCCTGTGGCCATCCCATCATAGGTCCCCTGTGCCCTGTGGACAGAAATCCCATCAGACCTCCCCTAACAGCTCACGCCAGCAGAGACCCTCCCAGCCTGGTCTCACCAGGACCCGACCTACATCCCACAGGGCCCACCCAGTCCCTTGCCTTGTTTCTGGCCAGGGCAGGTGGTGTCGACCCCAATGACAGACAAGGAAATGGAGGCTCAGAGAGGGACAGCAGCCCGCCCAGGGTGGCAGAGCAACCTGGCAGTGGGGCCTGGACTGAGCCCACACCTCCTCACCTTTTGTCCAGGCCCCCTGCTTACAAGAAGCAGGTCAGACAGCCGCTATCCTCCTTCCAGGAAGGCGAACACTTCGCAGCAGCTTCGGCGGCACTTGGCTCAGGTGTCTCCCGACAGTGTCGCCGTGACTCCAGCTGCCAGCCTGCCTTCCCCGACCGGGGCAGCCCGGCACCCTCCCCTGCACAGTGTCGTTTCAAGCCCTAGAGTCCCGGTCTGGTGTCCCGCAGGAAGGCGGGGGGGGGGGGGGCGGCGGGGGGCATCTGGAGCTAGGCCAGAGGGACCGGACAACCAGCGCAGGACGCCGCCCCAGGGTGGGCAGCCTGGATGAAAGGGCTCTGGAGCAGCAAGAAGCTGGGGAGGCAGCTTCTCTCATCAGGAATCCAGATGGAGAGGGAGCAGAGCCAAGGCCCAGGGCTCCTGCCCACGTGTGCACCTCCCTCACCCCATTCCTGAGGGGTCAGCCGTGTGTGCGCGGCCTCAAGGTGGGCCCTGGGGGTGCAGAGGCCCAGCCTTTGCCCTCAACAGAGTCGATCTCGAGGGGGTCACTATGAAAGGGGGGTCACTGTATATGCAGAACAGTGAGAGCTATAAGCCCCTCGAGGAAGGGACCCCGAGTGCCCCCTGGACACGTGTGCTCTTCCACACACAGTGCCTGGCGCACGGTGGCAGGTTCACTAGCAGGACTTTGGGCGTGTGTGGGTGGCGGGGCAGGGGGCCCCGGTCTGATGCGGCCCCGCACCACCCCTGGCACCAGCACTGCCCAGCAGTGGCGGGGGCCGCAGCAGAGGGTCATCCGTGTACTGGCCAGAGCCAGGGACCCTCTTCACCTCCCAGGCACTGGGATTCTAGGTCCTCAGCCCATCCCCAGCTGGGGGGTGTACCCTTTGGCTTTGGTTGAATTTTCCCCACACGCCCTTGGCGTCACCAGTCGAAGGTGCCCCGTGCAGCGGGCATGTGCCGCCGACCCGGGCGTGGGAACCTCCCCTCCCGCCATCCGTTCCTGCCCCGTCCCATCCCATCCCATCTCATCTTCATCTCATTCTCTCCGCCGGTGCCTGTCGGCCGCGTGTCCCATCGTCACCTCCCACACCAGTGTCCAAGAGACGCAAGGCCCATCTGCGGCGCCTGGATCGCCGGTGGACCCTGGGCGGGATGGTCAACAGGCAGCACAGCCGAGGTGACCGCGGGGGCCGGCTTCTCCTCACCTGCAGCCGCCGCCTCTTTCCCCCCCTCTCACTAACACCCCTCCTCCTCTCCGGGCTCCACCCCGCGGCTGCCTCGCCTGGACCGCTGCCCGGACTTTTCTCTCGCCTGCTGCAGCTTGGGGTGGGGGCGAGGGGCGGGCACAGGGTCTGCGTGGGGATCGGGGTGGCACTTGGAGGTGGCTCTGGCTTCTTCTGCCAGTGTCCTGGGGTGGGGGTCATGGGACCTAAGACACGGTTGTGGGGGCAGCCGGGCTCGCCGAGAGGCCACACTTGCCCTCAGAATTGCAGGTTAAGAGAACTGCGTGTTTCTGAATCTCCCCAGGGGCCATTACACACAATTTATCACCCGCTCACCTCATTGCCTTCCTCCTCTGAGCAGGCGCTCCCTCAGCCAGAGCTGTTCCCCAGCATTGCTTAGGGACAGAGTAGGAGGAAGGGCCAGCCCACAGCCCATCTCCATCAGCCAGCTCCCAGGAAACCGGAAAGGGATCAAGGGCCAGACCCAGCCTGGCCCCTGTGACGGTGGTATCAGGCCCAGCCAGGAGCCCCCAGCATCTCCAGCACTAGCCATTGGGACTTGGAGTTGGGGGGTGGGGTGGGAGGCTGCTCACCAAGAGGATTCCAGGGAAGCCCCTGGTGTGCCACACAGGCTGGTCAAGAACCGGGACATTTGCAGGTTCAGGGCCTTTCTAACATCCAGGAGCTTGGGACACAGTGGGTGGGGCCTTTGAACAAACCCCTCCACACCTCCACACCCCTGGCTGTGGGTGGCCAGTTCCCCCTGCCTCCTGGAGTGACAGCACCGCTGAGGGGGTGGTGATGAGCACTGGCCTCTCTAGAATGGCAAGGGTGCCCTGTGACTTGCACCCCCACCCCGAAGCTTATTCCTGAACAAATATACGACCATTGTTGGTATCTGTCCCCAAGCCCCTGGCAGCAGGAAGTCTGGACTCTGGGGTGGCCACTGCCTGTGGCCAGCTGAGTGTCGGGCTCAGAGCCCTGGCCCTGAGGAGCCCAGCTTGTCCTGAGGAGGGAGTGTGGGTTGGACTCTGGAGGCCAGCACAGGACGGGGTCCGAACTGTGGGAACAGCAGAAACAGGTGGACTGTAAAGCAGAGGCACCCTGGAGTTAGGATGGGTGGGGCAGCACTGCTGTGGGGCCGTGCTGGGACGCAGCCCCAAGTCTTGGTGGCAGAGGACAGTGGGACCCCGGCCTGGAAAGAGCAGCAGGGGGAGGGCTCACCCTTCCCCACCCCCTCCAGCATCTGCTCCAAACCCCCTCGCACACTGAGCCCCAGCGACAGCTGTGTCTCCACAACCACATGGACACGTGCGACCAGCGAAGCGCCCGCCCGCGCAGTCCTGACAGCCACAGTACGCTGTCACATCCCAGCCCACAGATGCACGCCCACGAGCCTGTGCACACAACCACCCACGGATCCACATCCACAAGTCCACCTATGCGACCGCACAGAGACATCACAAATAGCATGCACACCAACTGCTCACAACCACACACGGCCAGCTCTGTGGCAACGCAAGGCACACACAGCCTCACAGAGGCCCCTGTACGTGACCCCTGTGCCACAAACACACGAACACGCATCACACAGACATAGGCCTGAACGCCCTGCCAAATACACGATTCTTCGGTCACCCATGAGGAGGCCAATATGAGCCCGTGACTTCTTTTTCTCTCTCCTAAATAAGAGATCTGAACAATATTGTTTCCCAGCCTTAGCCCTAAGTTAAGTCAGACAGCCAAGAAACGCTCTCAGGAAGTTGGCTGGGAGACGCTGTGCGAAGAGCCGAGCTGGTGGGGGGATCAGGCAGGGGGTCACGTACGACTAGACAAGAGGAAAGCGGTGCTTCCCTGGGGCCTCCGCTCCCGCTCCCTTGGCCAACCAGGCCTGTGGAATCCAAAGGCCCCTCACAGCGGGGTTGGGCAAGTTGTGGGGGCCAGGAGGGGAGCTGGGGAGACTGCTGACGGAGGGGAAAGTGTTTGGAAAGAGGAGGCGTCTGTGGTTTGGAAACTGCAGGGCTCTCCAGCCCCTGCCTCCAAAACCAAAATAGGCCTGTCCACCTCCCCCAACCACCCACCCACTCACCCAGTGGGCGGCCTGACCAGCCTTTCCTGTGGCAGGGTTGCCACCATCCTTGGAGTGACCATGGCCTCGGTCTTTTCAGAAGCCCCGAGGTGCCCCCAGAACTCCCCACTCCCTCAACTCCCATTCCAAAGGGGCACTCTCTTCTAGAGACCCCCACCAACCTGAGCCACTCAGCCACGCCTGAGGCCACCTCTGTCTATCTGGGCCTCCTTCCATCTGGCCCCCCGGTGGGGCGGGTGGCGCTGGTCCTGCAGAGGGGCTGGCCCTGCTTCCCCCTTGGGGAAACGTGGGTTGGGGGCCTGACTCCCACACGGCACGTGTTCACACAGCAGCAGTCCATGCCTGTGCCGCCCGAGCCAACCGTGGCAGAAACCAGGCCCCCAGACAGACCAGTTGGAAGAGTTGTCCTGCCTGGAGCCAGGGCTCCGAATTGTCATCACCTGGAACCTACAGCTGCAGGGCTGGGCCAGCCAGATATCTTACTGTGAGCTCGTCCACTCCCAGACAGCTGTGTTCACGTCAGCTCCAGGGCCACCAAGAAAAGGGCCTTTCACAGGAGCGGCTTGGCTTTACTGGGTGAAGTGGACATCTCTGGTTCTGCCCACCCCAGGAAGGTCAGGGGGAAGCAGGGTGGTTGCATGGCCCCAGGGCTCTGCCCTCCCCGTGCCCCCTGAGGGCTGCAGAGGCCGGTGCGCGGGCCTGGCCGCTCCAGGGCCTGAGCCCACATGGCACGGTCTAGGCCCTGTTCTCTGCCCTGCGGCTGGGCAGGGCTCCTCTGATCTTCCCAAGAGGAGGACTGTAATTTTTCTCTGCAAAAGCAACTTTGCCTAGGAAAACTTTAATGATGGCTTCCTGCTCGAACCACAAGCTTTTAAAAATAGCCCAGCTGAGCAAAGGCAAAATGTGGACTGCAGGCCTCGCCTCTCCCTAACCTCAGAACTCGAGATTCCCGGGGCCTGGCGCTGGCCCTCCGGCCACCACCAGGGCCAGGATACACCGTGCCCCGCTGGAAAATGGAGCGGGACCAGGAGCAGGCAGGAGAGTGGGGGGTTGGCCTGTAGAACACTGAACTTCCCCAAGGCCGAGTCAGAATCTGGCCGGAGGAGGTTCTCAGGCGGCCTTGGCAGCCCTCCCCGGCATGGCTGCGCTGGGATCCGAAAGCTTCCAGGAGCTAGTCAGTGCTGAGAAAGGCTGGCAGGAGAAGAGACTCCCATGGGTCATCACCCATCTCTCGCCTTCTGGCAGCCTTTCAGATTCGGCCAGCGGCCCGCCGGCTCCGTCCTCACAGCCTGGCAGGGCAGCTGCCTCCGTCCCAAAGGGAGCTGCTATCTCGGCCCAGGACAGGGCCGCGGACAGGACCCCGATAATCCAGGGAAGCAGGAACAGATGGCCCTCCTGCCACAGGGTGTTGGGGTGGCAGCTGTCCCTCCCCCCGCTGCTGCCAGAGGCTCTGGCAGGCCACCCGCCCTGGTCCAGCTGAGGATCAGGGTGATTGTCACAGCTGGGAGCCAGGAGGTGAGGGGCAGGCGTCTTAGAGACCAGCATCCTGTGCCAGCATCCTGCTATTTTGAGCTCGTAGAAGGCCGCCCCCTCAGCGCCCTGCTCAGCCCCGCCTGCCCCTTTGTCCGTGTGTAGCACAGTCCACTTGGACTTGTTGAGGGGGGCACCCACACCAGAGTAGACAGCATAGGTTCAGGGCACCCCCTCCAGTGGGCGTGATCAGGTGGCCACTTCTTCCCCCACCTACACTCTGCTGCCCCTTGTTCTTCTAGAGGGTGAGGGTGGGGGCGGGCACTTCCTGGGAGGCTCTCTGCCCAGAGGGCGGGGTTTCTGTGGCCGGCCCGCCACCTGTGGGTCTGGCTGCCCAGGGGCTTCCTGGAGATGAGCAGAGCTGCCCCCGGGAGACACAGAAGCATCACCTCCCTGGAAGCCTGAGCGAGGACCCACATGGAGGCAGCAGGGCCCCCGCCAGGAGAGAGGCCGAGGGAACCAGGGAAGCGCGTGTGGCCCAGCCTCTCCACGCCTGCCCTCCCACGCTTTCCCTGAGCTCCCACAAGGTGCCTCTTGCCCAGGGCCTGGGAAATCCTGAACAAGGCCCATAGCCAGGCTGTGAGGCCAGAGCAGGCAGCTCCCCAGAGGGGTCTGCTGTCCTGTGTGGTGAGGGCAGCATGCTGTCCCCTGGATGACACACGGACACACGGGCTCACTCAGGGCTCCAGGTGGTCCTGCCTGATGGGGCTGTGCTCAGCGCTGCCACCACTCCTTGGGCCGTGGGACCCTCAACGTAACAAGACACACACAACCTCTGTCGTTGAACTTGTGTTCCCTGGAGTCCTCTTGGGGAAGTTACGTGGTTAGGAAGGTGGTCCGATCAGTGGTCAGGTAAGCCTTCACCGAGGACGGGCCTCTGGAGCATTCAGGTCAGACAGGGAGGATTTAAGGGATTGCGGTGGAGAAGGGCTAGGAGGGCAAGTCCAGGGCACAGATGGAAGTGTGTCCTGTTCAGGGGACACCCAGGGCTGGTCTCTGACTTCCCGACACAGGCTGCATGAGGGGCAGGCTCCTCCTAACCCTGCCCTTAGCGCAGGGTCCTAAGGACTCCAGGTCCCGGCAGCCTGGCTCCCGTTACTGGGCTGGAAGGGCCTCTGTGTTGCCCAGGGACTTGACAGAACACCTGGTAGCTTCGGCACACACTGGGAGTAGCATGAAACCTGGCCCCTCCCCTCCCCTCCCCTCCCCTCCCTTCCCTGGAAAAGCCAGAGGCCGACCCAGTGCACCTTGGCAACCAGCTAAGCAAAGGCCGTGCCAGGGGGCAGGAAGAGACAGCAAGGAGGACCCATATCCCAACCTCAAATAATTGTGCTTTCTTGCTTTGCCTGCCACCCACAGAGGAGAAGTATGTCACTGTGCAGCCTTACACCAGCCAAAGCAAGGACGAGATTGGCTTTGAGAAGGGCGTCACCGTGGAGGTGATCAGGAAGAATTTGGAGGGCTGGTGGTACATCAGGTAGGAGCCCCTGTAGAGAGGCGAGATGCCCTGGGCAGCAGAGCAGGTAGACACCAGATGGGGAGTGGACACCGACGGCAGCTTTGCACCCATGGCCGGGGCTTGGCCATGCTGAGGCCGTGCAGCTGACCAGCTCAAACAGAGAGAGCTCATCTGGCAGATTCTGCCCTGGGACACGTAAAGGAGAACTGAGCCGCGGCCAGCGGGGCACAGGGGCCCCGGCTCAGCCTGCGGGCGGTGGTGCAGTCCCTTCTCACTCGACTGCCAAGAGGGTCCAGTACCTCTGAGTGTGGTTTTCTGCGTCCAGCTTTGGCTGCCTGATGGGCTCCGCAGCTCAGGCCGCCTGGAGCACTGGCGTCCGTGGGCCTTGCTGAGGCCCCAGCAGGCCGCCCGGCCGCCCACGGCCCAGCACCCTGGTTCTGTCCCGGGCTGTCCCACTCTGCTGGCTCACGCGGTTGCAACAGCTGAGGGAGAAGTGAGACCTGGGCCCAGGCCTCTTCTCCTGCCCCTCCTTCTCCGGGGCCTAATCATACTCTCCAGCTGAGAAACCCGCTGGGGAGGAAGGGGAGAGGAGTGGGGAGCTCTCCCGATGCTCCTGGAGAGGAAGGGGAGAGGAGTGGGGAGCTCTCCCGATGCTCCTGGAAACAACACCCGTGGGCTTCACTCGCCCCTCCCTACCAAGTCCTGCCCGCCCAGTCCCCTCTGCCCTGGGACTCCAAGGCCAGCACCACCCTCGGGGAGCCTTGCCCTCAGGACGGACATGTTTTGGTTCTTTGGGGAGTCACTCAGGTGTGATGGTTTTGCCTAGTTTCTCTCTTCTCTGCCCATAACCAGCCTGGCAGAGATAGTCCCACACCTGTGGGCTTTGGGGACCACCTCACCCGCCCACCACACCCAGGAACCCTCACTGTGGGCAGGACGCACGTTCTAGGCTGTGTCTCCCACAGTGGGCACAGGCACGACCAAGGTGACGCAGGCACTCACGAGATGGCTTTTCAGGCCACGGCTGACCAGCTAGCTGCCAGTGATGGTCTGTGCTGATGGGTAGGACGAGGGTCACTAGCCTCAGGGGACTGAATCTTAGTGTGACCTGACAGGACATAGCTGCCCTGGCCCCATGCATGCAGTCGGGAGGGCTGAGGTGCCTTTCTTCCTGTCCTGTTAGGTGGGTCGGGGCTGTGTGCCCGGACATGTGCTGCCCAAAGCCGCTGCCCCAGGCCCCGCGTGCTCATGGCAGTGCAGGCTAGAGCCAGCCTGCACACCCAGCGGCCGTGTGTACTGCATAGGAGGCCCACGGGCATTCTGGCCACTGGGCACCAACCCCACTTGCCTGGAGGTTATCTTACAAAGCTGCCGGCTTTTAGTTTGTTTCTTTAAGTTTTCTACCATGACCCATAAAGCCACTTGGTGCTGCTGCTTCTAGTCGCCTCTTGTCCCAAGGGCCTAGCCCGTTAGCCAGCAGGAGCTTCAGCTGAGAAAACCCTGCTGTAAAGGTTCCACCTTAAGAAGTCCGTCAGACACCCCCTTAAATGTGCCATTTCCCAACATTCCAGGCTCTGTGTTGATCCTCATTTCCTGTCTTTCTTCTCCGCCCGCCCCCCGCAACACACACACACCCCCTCCCTCTTTCTCCATCTCTCCTTTTCCAGTTGGCTTCCCTCTGGCGTCATTCCACGCTCCAGAGCTGGAAAGCAGATGTGCACGGAGCTGGACCCAGACACACACAGCCGCTCCCGGTCCCCTTGCCTCTCTCCGCCTGGGATCTAATTTTATCCGTGTAACACCGAGAGAGCACACAGGGTTTGACAGGGGAGCACTCAAGGCAGTGGCTGGCCTGGCCACCACGCCCGTGAGGCCCCGAGGCCCACCCTCTGCTGTGTTCTCGCAGGAAAGCGCGTGCCCTGTCCAGCAGGCTCTGCGTCCTCTTTTCTCCAAGATGGAGGAGCCCCAGCGTCCGAGCCAGACACTGCCGCCAGCTAGCTGTGCAACCCCCTGCCACTTGCTTCGCTTTCCTGAGCCTCGGTGGTGGCCTCGTGTGAGATGAGGCATCTAGACTAGTTGTTTCCCTCCTGCCCTGAAGTCCTGGGCTTCTGTCTGTCAGCTCCCTGGTTTCCATCATTTGTCCACGGGTGTCTGCCTCCCAGGTTCCCCCCTGGCCTCTTCCTTCTCCCGCCCCCCTCCCTTCCACATGTTTCCACAACGAGCACAGAAGGAGTGACCCCTCCTGGAGCTTTCCAGCAAGGCTCGAGCCATGTCGCCGATAGAAGCTTTAACTTTCACATTCCTTTTTCTCCCACCTCACGAGAGCCCCAGAACGAGGTCAGATGGGGAGGCAGGGGAGGGGACTGTCAGACATCTGGCACGGAGGAGCCATTCCAGAGAGCCAGCTGCATCCCAGGAAGCAGACGGGGACACTACCACCAACTCAGGGGCAGTGACAGCTGCTGGGCCGGGAAGTGGGTTTGGGTAGGAGCTCAGCACCACGGGAGGAAAAAGGGGACAGCTTGTTTTCAGAAGTCATTGCGCAGTAAATCAAGACGGCCTTGCGTTTTGCCTTTTCTCCTGTTTAGGGGTTTTTGGTTTTCGTTTCCATTTTGTTTTCTTTTCCAGTCCCAAAGGTTTTCATTTTATCCTGTCACATGCTTTAGTCTTTTCGTGTATGGTTTCAGCCTTTGGAATTCCATGTAGAAAGGTTTCTCAACCCCCCAAGATTAGGCAAGTATTCACAATTTGCATTTTTAATTTTGCTATAGGGTGTGGGGCCAGGGTCTCACTTGTTTTTCCTAACTAGATAATCAGGTGTCCCCAAATCGATTACTGAATAATCCATCCTTACCGCACTGATTTGAAATGTTCCCTTTGCACTGCCTGGGTAGCTCAGTTGGTTAGAGCTTTGTCCAGATGCACCAAGGTTGTGGGGTTTGGTTCCTGGTCAGGCCACGTACAAGAATCAACCAATGAGTGCATAAATAAGGGGAACAATAGATTTCTCTATATGTCTCTCTCTTTCTCCCTCTCCCTTCCTTTCTCTCTCTAAAAAAATGAATGGAAGGAAGGAAAGAAGGAAGGGAGGGAGGAAGGAAAGGAAAGTCGGAAGGTCCCCATTAGCGTTCGTCTGTTTGTGGACTTGCTCCATGAACTTGATCCATCTGCTACTTCTGCATAGCATGGGTCTTTCCCACTCAGTCACTCTTCTTTAGAGATATCTTCCCAGTTGGTCTCCATATGTTCATCCTTCTGGATAAATTTTTGCAGTTACTTTATCCCTGCATTTTTCCAGAGAGAAAAAAATTTAGCCCTGGGGTAGGGACTTGTCCAAGGTACCATAGATCAGAATTCAGGTTTTCTAACTCACCTGAGCTACCTCTTTGCCTCTCTTATAATACTTCCCTTTCCAATAGGACATGTAGCTCTAGACACCTCATTTTTAATCTCCAGAATTCCCCTTTTCTTATTGCAAGGTAGCAAGCTGTTACGAAGTCTACCTTTTGGGCGACCCAAAATTTGAGGAATCTTCTTACTTGGAGGTCCCACATTTGCCTGACTTTGCGGATTTTGGGAACTCCCACCAGGAGGGATCGGGCAAAGAACAAGGAGGTAGTCAGAAGCGGTGTTCTAGGTGTCTTCTCCAGGTCTAGGTGCCCTCGGTTCCAGGTCTCCCTAGAGCAGAGGGATTGCCACATACCTGCTGAACACGGTCGAAACAGCTCTGCTGGGCAAAGCCAGATGGAGCCTGGGCCTGGGGGCAGAGCTCGAGGGCCAGCTTCAGCGCTCTGGTGACCCATCTCCCACTCCTTCCCCACAGATACCTGGGCAAAGAAGGCTGGGCACCAGCATCCTACCTGAAGAAGGCCAAGGAAGACCTGCCAGCACGGAAGAAGAACCTGGCAGGCCCAGTGGAGATCATCGGGAACATCATGGAGATCAGCAACCTGCTGAACAAAAAGGCATCGGGGGACAAAGAGACTCCACCAGCCGAAGGCGAGGGCCCAGAGGCCCCCGTCACCAAGAAGGAGATCAGCCTGCCCATCCTCTGCAATGCCTCCAATGGCAGTGCCCTGGCAGTCCCCGAGAGGACCGTCTCCAAGCTGGCCCAGAGCTCCCCGGCCGTCGCCAGGATTGCCCCTCAGAGGGCCCAGATCAGTAAGAGCCTCCCGGAGCCCCAGGTCTTTGCTGCAAAGATATTTATAGAGTGGCCGTGGGGTGCAAGGAAAGCTAGAAAGGCATACAGGACCCCCACATCATTTTCTTCCTGAGATCTAGATGGACCCCTGACCCCAGCCTCACTCTGTCGACTGGTGTCATGCTAATTACAGGAGTGGACAAGGCAGTTCCTCCCCAGCCCTCCACGGAAGATACATGACATCAGTATATAAGCTGCTAGCATTCCCTTCTCCAGTGGAGAGCCAGAGATGCTCCCTTCATAGACAGGTGTCGTCCCCGGTCTGTGACGTGTGGGCCGCAGATGTCAGGCTGCTTTGCCAAAGAGGGGCACCTTCCTGGGCCTTACCCCACCTTCCTGACTGCCTTCCACGAATTTCTAGAAACCTACAAGATCTGGAGGGTGTGGCTTTACCTCTCTGTACCAGCATATTTTTAAGGGTCGTTCTTCAGGATTCTCCTCGTTCCTGCAGGAGAAACCCTGCTCTCTGGCGAGCTCTGACTCTCCACGCGCCCCTGGCTCACAGTGCCTTCAGCTGAGGGTTAAACTGTTCTCTATTACAAGAGGCAAGCTTCTGTTTGTGTCCAGCCTTAAAATCTGGAGGAAAGCTGTTTCTGTTCTAAACTTGGTGAAGTGTGCTCTGTGCCTGAAATCTTTTAGGCAGGCAGTTGGGAAATCTTTTTTTATTGTATTTTCCCCATTACTATTTATCCCCCTTATGCCCCCTGCCCCCCGCCATCACCACCCTGTTGTCCATGCCCATGAGTCCTTTTTCCTTTTTGCTCAATCCCTGTACCCCCTGCCCCCCATAGCTGCCATCCTGCCCTGCATCTATGAGTTTGTCTCTGTTTTGCTTGTTTGTTCATTAGATTCCACATCTGAGCAAAGTCACGTGGTATCTGTCTTTCTGTGATTGACTTATTTAGCTTAATGTTCTCCAGGTCCATCCATGCTGTTGCAAAGGGTAAAATTTTCTTCTTTCTTTTTACGCCTGAGTAGTAGTCCACTGTGTAGGGAAATCTTTTGAGGGCCTCTCCTCTTGCCTGGAATTGTACTAGCTTCTAAGGGTTTAGTCATGAGCACAAAATAGGCACGGTTTCTGCTCCATGCTTTGAAAATCTATGTATTGGGTTGGCCAGCAATTTCATTTAGTTTGTTCTGTAAAATGAAAGACACATTTTCATTTTCACCAATAACCTTATTGATTTGGATATTTTGAGTATGGCGGCCATCTCCCGTGCGGTATAACAGAATAACATTGGCTGCTCTCAGTTAATGTCTCGATTTGATCACTGTGTACTTCAGCGAGTCCAGCCAACCGTTGTGGAGCACCATCCAGTGAGAAATCTCCGGCCCGAAACTTCGCAAACCACTTTTGACACATTCAATCTGTGACAGCACCTCCTCCATACACTGCACAAATCTTTTTCTGTGTTTCAGTTGCATTTTTACCTTTCTGGAAATAATAAAGCATAATAGGCTGAAAATGTTGCCTATTTTCTTCCATCTTCAATGTTAAAATGGTTACCAAAAAATTCACCAATTTTGATAAGTTTTTTTTAAGTGCATGCTGATATGACAGCTGTCACAATACAATCTAACAAAATTGTTTCAAATGAAGTTAAAGACAGCTAAGCACTACCAGAGCCATCTTACAGGGGGGACAAACGAACAAACTTTTGGCCAACCCAATACTTTGATAAAGCTGTATTCCCCTTCTCCTAAAAACTGCCTCCTCGGTGTCAGTCCATTTTGCAATGTGCACGCCGTTGCAGAGGGCCCGTGGACCCCCTGAAGCGTAGCCAAAGCGGCTTAGAGCTCTGGGGTTTCCCTCTGAGGAAGCCGAACCACAGTGCGTGTGTGACTGAGAGTGTGGGCTCTTCGTGAACGTGGGCTGGGACCAGGAGGCGGTCGCATCAGGGGGAAGGCGGGGCAGGCCATGTGGCCCAGTGTCTGGCTGGCATTTTCTAAGCCATATTTTTCTTTCTAGGCTCGCCGAACCTCAGGACTAGGCCTCCCCCTCGCCGAGAATCCAGCTTGGTACGTGTGCCATATCTCTTCTCCCTGTTTTGTTCCTTTTCTGGGGGTGTGCTGTAGTGCCCCCGGCCCCCCCCCCCGCGCCCCCCCGTTAATTGGCTGTCTCACTGCTGAGCCTGTTGGTCCCTTCCAGCTGTGTGGGGCTGGGGACAGAGAGGGAAACTTGCAGACCCCAACCTTTCAGGGGGTGGGGGACCAGCTAGATAGTTTATAATTGAAAACTCTCTGCACTCCAAAGCTAAATAAATCCATCCCGGCCACTGCACTGGCAGACATAAACATTTAGACTGGCCGGCGAGAGTGTCCGGCTAGGGCATTGCCAGGGGTTTGAAATGCAGCTGTCCATGTGAGCCTGGACACCTTTCAGCTTCGCCTCCCTTGCTGGGGAATGCCCGATGGAGGTGGTGGAAGCCAGAGGCGGGAGAGTGGAGGGCAGACCAGTGAGCACCCTCCAGGAGTTGGAGGCGGGTTGGCACCAATCACCAGGGCAGGCTTGTGCTGGAGCTCACAGATGCTCAGTGCTGCTGGGGGCCTGGCTTCTGTGGGTGGGGCTTCCTGGTGTCCAGACTGTCGAGGAGGCCGATGGGCACTCAGAGTGCTGGGCTCGGGTCAGCAGCCGTGGTGGTGGTGGGCCGAGAGCCCTAGAACAGAGGACATTATCAAGGGCAGTGGGGTACAATGGAAAGAAGGGGGCTTCAAGTCTGCTAGACATAGATTCACATTGCACTTCTGACACTTAGCAACAGCCACCCCCAGGGCAAGTTGCATACGCGCTGCAAGCCTCAGCGTCCTCATCTGTAGGACGGGGTCGGTGCCGGGCGTCTGCTGGGGCTGCTGTGGGGATGAAATGAGACGATGTGTGCTGCAGGCTGGCGGTCAGGTCTCCACTTCCTGTGTCCGCTGTCACTGTCGGAAGCACCACCTGCAACAACTGCGCGGAAACAGACTTCTGAAGTCACACCTGGGCTAACAGCACGGGTTACTGTGACCAGTGACCTCCGCCCAGGGGAGGGCAGCAGTCCCTGGAGAAGCAGGCCTTCGGCAGACAGGATTACAGAAGAGCTGGCCCCTGCAAGGAGACCGAGCTCGCCCTGGCCACCGGCCCCCGTGGGCTTTCTAGCTCCCTTTTCCCTTGTGCGGTGCACGGCTGAACGGCAACTTCTTCCCTGCCTTTCCTCTCAGCCCCAGCTAATTACTTTCAGGCAGACTTGCTTTTGGCAAGAATGGGGCCATTCCTTCCACACTTACCAAATGCAGGGCTTGCGGAGGCAGCGCTGCTGTTTCCAGCGAGGCCCGGCCGAATCCCACTTGGCCAGGGGTCCGGCTGGGCCGGGGCCTGGGCCACATCTGCTCACATGCACGGCCGCAGGGCCAGGCCCCAGGACAGGGAGAGTGGACGGAATCATACCCAGTTCCTGCAAAACCAGCTTCTTCCCAGCCTGTTTTCGCTCTGACCCCAGGCAGCCGAGCTGGCAGGCTGGACCGGGACTTGCCCCGAAGGGTGAGGAAGGTGCAGAGGACAGGGTGGTGGTTAGCTCTGGCTTCTCCCTTCCCGTGCCCCTGGCTGGGCCAGAAGTTAGTATTTACATTATCTCAGCAATCCTCTCAGGGACCCCACCTTAGCTCTGTTTTATAGATGCAGGAACTGAGGTCGAGCGCGGGCCGTGCAGCTGGGGAAAGGCTGAGCTGGGACTGAAGCTCGCACATGCCCAGCTGCAAGGCGGAGGTCTTCCCAGGTCCTCTCGTTACAGCACGGCCACTTCCCCCTCCCTAGTCTCCCACTCACACATCTTCACTCAAAAATCATTTTGTTTTAACCCCTTTGTGTGACACCAGGACACACTGGGAGCAAGGGGGAGGCACCGAGCCACGTGTGGCCGGAACAGAGAACGGGTGATCTAGAGTATCCCCTCCACCAGGGCTCGGGGGTCGTCCTTGACTCGGCTGTGGGACACCCAGTTGACACAGAGCAAATGTTTGTAAAATAAACAAATGAGTCTCACAAGTCACAGGCCATGGCCACACTCTAAATGTCCTCAAACGCTGTCTAGGTATTCACGTGTCAGCATCTGAAACACAGGTCACCCGTGTGCTCCACAGTCCGCAGAGCAGTGGGCCCTGAGCCTTATTTGGTGCTTGCCAATATTCAACAACGCTGTGATGACCAGCCAAGGGCCCTGCCCACCCAGCCCCACGCTGCCTCGCACTCGCACCCCACCTGTAGAGACAGCTGTGTCCCCTAGCTCTGCCCCTACGGCCGGATATCACCCCTGCAGCCTTCTCCCTCAGTCTTCAGGAAGCGGCTGTCCTCCCCCGCCAGGCCGTGTGTGCACAGACTTCGTCACAACGCCTGCTCTGGTGTTTCATTTTCGTTTGGTACCTAGCTGTTGAGGCTTCAGAAAACTGGGCCTCCAGAGATGAAAGGGTGGGAATTGCTGTTACTGAGGGGTCATCTTGAAGGCTCAGACACAGCTCAAGTGAATCCTAGGAAGGAGAGTGACTCGGGTGATAGGTATGGCCTCAGGTCAGCTGCTGTCTGGCTGGTGTAACTGCCGTGCTCCCTGCTGTTACCGTTCTGATCAGGTGGGTTTCGCTCACTGAGTCCTTCTCTACTCAGGGGTTCCAGCTGCCGAAGCCACCAGAGCCCCCTTCTGTTGAGGTGGAGTACTACACCATTGCCGAATTCCAGTCGTGCATTTCTGATGGGATCAGCTTTCGGGGCGGACAGAAGGCAGAGGTGAGCCTGGGGCCAGGAGGCTGAGGGGTTTAACTCAGGCTCGCCAAAGACCTGCTGCGCCTCTCTTTTGTGTCTCGCTGGCACTGTTCCTGCTGGGCAAGCAGGAGCAGCACAGAAACGAGACCCCTGAAGCTGGTAGGAAGTGCAGGCAGGGCTGGAGCCCAGGACTCGTGTTTCTGCCCCGTGCTCGCAGCGGCCCTTCCCAAAGCAAATCACGGAGCTAGTGATGGGCATGTTGTGAGACAAAGGGCTTCCGTGGCTGGGTGAGTTCAGAGGACAGTGGGTTCAACAAAATTCAGCCAGTTTTGTTGTTTTAATTGCAGAACTTCTCAGAGCCCATGATATGGAGATGTCACTGTGCATCTCTAACAGGGGACCAGATCAGGCAGCACGGCCCAGTCCCGGTTGGCCCCAGCGCATGGTCTCTCCCAGGAGCCCCTTGGGGGGCTGCAGGTTGGGAAGTGCCATTGCTGGGAGGACAGGGTCCAGGCTGCGGAGGCGAGAAGCCAAGAGCCGGGTTCTGACCACATCTGCACCACAGGCACCTCTGGTGCTTGATGCAGCCACTTCTTCCCCACAGCTTTGGTTATGCTCTGCAAACTGGGGTAGTATGTATGCCCTGGGGTGGTCCCTCCTGGCCTGTCTCCTGACATTTATGAAACTGCTTGGTAGTCGGTGCTGAACATGGCATTCCAGGAGACAGAGAAGGTCTGTGACTCTTGTTTCTCGCAAGTGGCTTTGTGTGATAATGGAGTAAAGTCCAATTAATTCATATAAAACTGTCAGGAGATTAACTGGGCAGGCTCTGCCTATTGAAGAGGCGATATCCCCACTGTGAATGTTTTAAATCACATGCCTGGAACTTGGAACTCAGTTTCCCAGAGAAATCAGTCTCTCGTTGGTGCTTAGTTCTCTGGAAGGACCTACAAAGCCGGTAACGTCACAGAACTGTCATCCTTAGGATCTACCTAAGCTTGACGTGTAGGTATGGGGGTGGGCAAGGGTGAAGGATAGAAGAATAGAGTACCCAAGGGATGAGAAAAATCTTTCTTTTTTCCGTGGCAATTGCAGAGATCTGGTCTTAGGCTGAGCTTGCCTTTGGCAGTCTCTGTCCTCTCTTCCTTGCCCCTGTTCCCCAGGGCCACTGTTTTCAGGCTTCTCCTCCTCTCCCCAGGACCTCTTCTCTGGGGTGTCCACCACACAAGACTACCTTCCCTTTGTGTTCTCCCATCCAAATGAACCCCAGCACAACCAGTTACTTCACACCTGGCCTTTAGCCAGTCTCACATCGCCGTTAAGAGAGAAGCTCTTTGAACTAGTTTATACTAACATGGAAATGACTGACACCCCCTCATTTGTCCCACAGGAAAACCATTCAACCCAAGGAAATCTTTTCAGTTAGTGGGATTCCCCCGGCAGTGGGCACATAGGGCAGGGCTGTGTAGGGAGGCTCTGGCCTCAGACAGGCCACGTCTCCCAGTTCAGCTCACCTGCATCTTCACATTCTCTTCTGACCTGAGAAACCCTTTCCAGGGTCACCAGGGAAGGACCTTGTAATATTGGAGGTGGGAGGAGGACAGGAGAGGTGGAATGGTAGAATGGCAGTTTTTTTATACATGTGGGTCCTCGGCAAGTTGGGTTCTGTAGGGACTGGGAACAGTGCATGTTCCGAGTGCAGCAGCTTAGGGGCAGAAGCAGCGGTCGAAGAGGAGGCCAGCTTGACCACAGAGTTGACAGAGGCTTGGAGGGCCCGGGGAGGGGTACTTGAATGGTGGGAGCCCCCCACCTAGGAGATGATAGAGAACTGGGTTTGATTCCAGCCCATCACCTACTGCATGGGGTCCTGGGCCACTGACTCAGATTGCTCCCCTGTAAATGGAGATAACGTCCCCCAGAGCCAGAATATGCAGCTCGTAGCCTGGCACATCACAGGGTCCCGAGTGATCCTCCCGCTCACTGGCCTGTCCGCCCTTCCCCCAGGTCATCGACAAGAACTCAGGTGGCTGGTGGTACGTGCAGATCGGTGAGAAGGAGGGCTGGGCCCCCGCGTCCTACATCGACAAGCGCAAGAAGCCCAACCTGAGCCGCCGGACGAGCACACTGACCCGGCCCAAGGTGCCCCCCCCAGCGCCCCCTAGCAAGCCCAAGGAGGCTGAGGAGGGTCCGGCGGGCACTAGTGAGAGCCAGGGCTCCCCGCTGAAGCTCAAGTACGAGGAGCCTGAGTACGACATCCCTGCCTTTGGCTTCGACTCGGAGCCGGAGCTGAGTGAGGAACCCGCGGAGGACAAAGGCCCGGGGGACAAGCGGCCGGCCCAGCCCCGCAGGCCCTCGCCCGCCTCCTCGCTGCAGCGGGCCCGCTTCAAGGTCGGCGGGTCCTCGGAGGACGTGGCCCCGGAAGAGGAGACCATCTACGAGAACGAGGGCTTCCGGCCGTGTGCAGAGGACACCCTGTCCGCCGGACGTTCCTCCCGGGGCAGCGACTCCCCGGGGGGCTCCCCGCTGTCCCTTGCCAGGAAGAACTCCCCCAAATCAGACTCCCCCAAGTCCTCCTCTCTCCTGAAGCTCAAGGCAGAGAAGAACGCCCAGGCGGAACTGGGGAAGAACCACTCCTCAGCCTCCTTTTCCTCGTCCATCACCATCAACACCACCTGCTCCTCCTCCTCCTCGTCTTCCTCCTTGTCCAAGCACAGCAGCGACCTGAAGCCCCGTTCTGCCTCGGATGCAGGCATCCGCGGCACGCCCAAGGTCGGGGCGAAGAGGGATGCCGACCTGAAGGCAGGACTGACCTCCTGTGCCCGGGCCAAGCCGTCGGTCCGGCCCAAGCCGTTCCTGAACAGAGCGGAGTCCCCGAGCCAAGAGAAGATGGACATCAGCACTTTGCGGCGCCAGCTGAGACCCACGGGCCAGCTCCGGGGGGGCCTCAAGGGCTCCAAGAGTGAGGATTCAGAGCTGCCCCCCCAGGCGGCTTCCGAGGGTCCCAACGAGGGGTCCAGGAGAGGCTCAGCTGACATCATCCCCCTCCCGGCGGCTGCGTCCCCGCGTCCCACCAAGAAGGAGCGGGAAGGGCAGGCCACCTCCTACACCACGTGCAGCGCCTACCAGAAGGTCCAGGACTCCGAGATCAGTTTCCCCGCAGGCGTGGAGGTGCAGGTGCTTGAGAAGTTGGAGAGTGGCTGGTGGTATGTGAGGTTTGGGGAGCTGGAGGGCTGGGCCCCTTCCCATTACTTGGTGCCTGGTGAGAACGAGCCGCCGGACCCCGCTGGCAAAGAGCCAGATGCGGTAGCCGCCAAGGGCAAGCAGGAGGGCAAGTCAGACAGCCTGGAGAAGATCGAGAGGCGGGTGCAAGCGCTGAACACCGTCAACCAGAGCAAGCGGGCCACGCCCCCCATCCCCTCCAAGCCCCCAGGGGGCTTCGGCAAGACCCCAGGGGCCGGGGTGGTGAAAATGAGGAATGGCGTTCGGCAGGTGGCGGTGCGGCCCCAGTCGGTGTTCGTGTCCCCACCCCCCAAGGACAACAACCTGTCCTGCGCCCTTCGGAGGAACGAGTCGCTCACAGCCACCGACAGCCTCCGAGGCGTCCGCCGGAACTCCTCCTTCAGCGCCGCCCGCTCCGCTGCCGCTGAGGCCAAGGGCCGCCTGCCCGAGCGGGCCGCCAGCCAGGGCTCGGACACGCCTCTGCTGCCCGCCCAGCGGAATGGCATCCCTGTGTCCCCCGTGCGCCCCAAGCCCATCGAGAAGTCCCAGTTCATCCACAACAACCTCAAAGACGTGTACATCTCGATCGCGGACTATGAGGGGGACGAGGAGACAGCGGGCTTCCAGGAGGGTGTGTCCATGGAGGTCCTGGAGAGGAACCCCAACGGCTGGTGGTACTGCCAGATCCTGGACGGGGCGCGGCCCTTCAAAGGCTGGGTGCCCTCCAACTACCTGGAGAAAAAGAACTAACGGGGGAAGGGTCCTTCTAGCCTGAGGGTGGATGGGGGTGGAGCGAAGACAATAGGGGAAGGGAAAACGGGAGGGGGGTGGGGGGAGGGCTACATTGAACCCTGCAGAAGCGGTGACCTCAAGGATACTCCCCTCCGGGCTGTCCCCCAGCTGGAAGGTAAGGTCCGGCAGTGGCCCACCTTCAGCAGGAGGCCTGGGCCCAGAGGTGAGACAGCGGAGCCCTACGTGTGCACCGTGGTGGCTTTGCTGGTGGGCTCAGTGCCGCTGGGGACAGGCCCCGTGGGAAACCCCAGCCGGGCCGGGCCGTGGCTGCAGACCTGGGAAAGATGTGGTCGAAGGGGCCTCCCGTGCCCTGCCCTCGCACAGCCCTGTTCCCGTCATTGGCACCTCGTTACCAGAGGTGGCCCTCGTATCGTCCTCACCTGTCGTCCTCACCTGTCATCGTGAATTGTGCTGGTTGCCCAGGGATCGCCGCCACCCACCACCGGTGGCCGGGCAGAAGACACCACTGGCTTTGAGGCTTGGACACATGTTTTATGAGCCCAACCTGCCCCTGGCCAGGCCACTGTCAGTGTCTGTTCGTTGAAGAAAAAGCAGTTCCCCCGGTGCCCGCAGGGACCACCTTTCTTAGCCGTCACTGACCGTGAGCAGAGAGCCCACGCTGCCCGGCGCCCATCAGGGCCCGCTGGCCCAGTCAGCAGAGCAGATGGGCCTCCTCACGGTCTGCACAGACTTCATTGTGGACATTTCTGGGTGCACAGTTCTTGTGCATGTTTTGGGGGAGGTTTATTGATTTTGGGCTTTTATGTTGGGCCTTGGGTTTTGTTCTTATTTTAGGGGTTGTTTGGGGGCCTAGGGACGGTCGGCCTCACGGGAGGGTAATGGGTGGCCTCCCCTGCGGCACTCTCGCAGGGAGGCGGTTCGGTTGTGTTTGACGTGCGTCCCCGGAGTCATTTCACTTGGTTTCCGCTGTGTGGACAGTTCCAGAGCCCGGCACTTGCCGGAGGCACCAGGGCTGAAGAAGCCCCAGGTCCCAGACACCTGAAGCCCGGCCCCAGGAGGGAGGAGGGCCTCGTTCAGGAGAAACGGTGGCCCTCAGGCCGCTGGGTAACCGCCATTCTGTGTACATTGTCCCGCTTGGGCAGGACTTGAAAGCCTCACGTGCGAACTATGGAGAAGCGGCCATCGCCCCACTCCTGGTCTGAGGGGACCCCGGCCGGGCCCCTTGGGCCAGACTGGAGCAGACACCACCAGCCACCCCCCAGCCTGCCAGCGATGCCGCAGTTACCCAAGAAGATGGAGAAGCCCGGGCCGGGAGCTGACCTGGTCTTCCCGAGGGGCAGTGCCCCTGGAGAGATAGAAGTGAGAGAATCGATTCCCTGTCAACTTTGGGTCTTGCAATTGTCAATGTTTCCAAGGGGACCCTCCAGAAGCCGAAGCGGCTTCCCAAGGACTCACCCTTTGCTGGGAGTGGGTCTCCACACGTGCCTTTGATTTCGGACAGATCAGGCCTCACAGCCACGATTCAGCTGCCAGAGTCCTGGGCTAAGGGTTGGTGTTCCCTGCAGAGGGGGAAAGGCCCTCTCTCCACCCCTGCTCCCCACCCAGGAAGTGCATGTTGCCTGAAGGTGAGCATGGGGCCCAGGTCTCACGCCTTCAGTGCCCCCTCCCGCCCCCTGCCCCCCGCCCCCAGGCCTTGCCTGGGACCTCCCCAGCCCTCTTCCGTCCCCTCCACCCCCTACACTGACGCGCGGCAGCTCATGTTCTCTGTTAAAGGGCCGTGGTGAGATTTTGTTTCCTTTTGTTTGTGAGTTTGTTTAAAATTGAAATTAGTTATTTTCTTCTGCTGGACAGTATTATATAGAGCAGGATGTTGAGTTAATCTGCTAGATTGCAGTACTAATAGTAGTGGTTTAGTGTCTTCATATTATTATTTGGACTTCTTTGAACAATAATGATAAAGAAGTGGTTCATTATTTTTTTAATTAATGCACTTTAATAAGGTAGAATGGAAAGAAACCCAGAGAGCAAAGTGCATTACTTAAAGATGCAGTATATACTTTTCTCATTTTTAAGCAGCACATATTTATTAAAAGAAAAAAAAGTAATTTATGATTATTTAAAATAAAATTTAAAAGTAGAGTGACTTTTGGGTGAAAGGACCTTCCGCGGAGCTGTCTTCCAGGGCAGGGCCCCAGCGGCCTCACTCCTCAGACGTCTGCACTGAGCCAGTTCGATCCGCATCACGACGGCCAGGCCAGGAAGGCGTGCAGGGCGCATCTGCCACGCACAGAGCATCTCAGTCGGACTGGACCACAGCGCTCCCCAGCGCCTGTCTCTCCCTGCCCTTCCTCACTGTCTGCACTGCCCTGCGGGGCTCTCTACCACCACCAGGGCCCACATTTCCCCAGCTCCACCCCCCCACCCCACCCCAGGACCTTCCCTCTTTGATCCCCAGTGCTCTAAGGGATGGTCATTAAAAGTGACCTCATAGGTCACGCCATCCCATCCCTTCCTGTTACTGCAGCCCGAGGACAGGAAACGGCTTTCCCAAAATCACATAGCTAAGTTGGATGGCAGACCCCCCCACACTGCATCGGTGCTTGCACTCCTACCCGCCCCCATTAGAGTTTATTGTGTGGTCATCGTGTTTACATTGTGGCACCCAGCCCTAAGGATGGCTGGGAGTTGCTCAGGCATCCAGGAAACGTGGGGAATGCTGCCACCTGATGGCAGCGTGTAGATTTGGGCAGTGAACAGGTATTGCCATGCCCCATCTTTGCCCCTCGCCCCTCACCATCACCCCCTAGTACACAGCACAGCACAAACCCTGCAAACCGAAAGAGAATATTAATACTTGAAGCAAAAAGGGTGCATGCCAGTCCCTCTCAGACACGGCCAGGGGATGCCACGCCTCGCGCCCCTGGACGCCGAGCCCTCCCCGGGGCAAGAGGGCCTTTCCTTAGAGCTACTGAGCTGCTTTGTGATGTTGGAGGGTACTGCTAGCAGCAGGTGGAGGAGGGAGGGGCCTGTGGCTCTGACCCATCTGGAGGAAAACCAGATCGGACTCAAAAAAGGAAAAAGAAAAATGAAATCTCAGCAGTGTCCAAACCTAGTTTTCCATTAGTTGCGATTGAAAATGTGAAATGACATTGTACGGCTGTATACTGCAACTTTAATCATAATGAGCCCTTCTGAGGTCATTATTGAGGTTTATATAATGCCTGACGATGCATCATTGGTGCTTTTTCTTTCCGTTGAGGGACTTTTTCTTTCATTACAAGGGGAAAACAATGTCTTCATCTCTCTTCCACTTTATAACAGCGGGCCTGGCTGGGCTTCCTGGCCCCACCATGCCATTTCCACGAGGCCGGGGAGCGCGGAGGCAGCGAGAGGGGGCTGGGAGGGGGGACCCTCCACAGCAGGTGTGCCGTCTGCTCCAAGCGAACTGCGGTCGGGGCCCTGCCTCGCCAGCCCTTGGCCCCGCCCACCGCCAGCCTGGCTCCAGCCGCCGCTCTTTGTTCCTCCTCAATCCTCCGTCTTGACGAAGGCATTATATAGAATCATTTTAATCACTTTCAGATGTTAGAGCAGCGTATTTTACTGGCATTTATCCATCGCTTTCCTCAGCAAGGCATGTTACTACTCTTAATCATCTAAGGAAAAAAGACAAGGGAATTTTGGTCAAGCATTATTTTCATATTACTAGTATTTGCAGAATAGGCGTAGAACTATTTAAGTTAGACCTTGGGTTGGTAGTTCGTTTTGTTTTTAAGGGGGGGAAAAGATAAGGTAACCCCTACTTTTTTTTGTATTTAACTAATATATTATTTCTTTAAGGTTACTCACTTCCCCTATTCCCTCCAAATACTTTGCATTCTCAATCGAAAATGAAAACAATCTGAGAGACAGGAGACGTGCAATATTATCAAGAGGGATGCCAGGGCTTGTGGGCATGGGTGAGAGGGCCAGTGGCCGCGTCTGTCGGTAGGGGAGGGGGGCTGCTGGGAGGAGTCAGAGCCGTGGACCAGACAAGCGGCCTTGTGGGTATCAATCTTTTTCCCCTCCTGCCCTGCTTCCCTGGCAAGGTGGCAGGGGTCCCCACCAGCAGGCAGCCCCTTTTTCTGTTGGGTGTCCTCCACCCAGAAGAAGGGGATTCAGGGAAGTAGCGTGGGGCGCCCTGGGGCCCCAGCCCGCAGAGCAGAGCAAGGGCATCCAGAAACTGTTCCTTGTTTTCATTTCCGTTTGTCAGCCAGCTGCTAAGAAAGACCTGTCCTACAACACTCCCAGCAGCCCTCTCTCACCCCATCTCCTGATGTGTGGGCCGTGATCCTTTGGATGTATGTTTGAGTCTTGCTAAAACTATGTAACCTCAAGTTCAGTTCATGGGCAGGAACCCTAGATGTAATCAGATCTTCCTGGGGAAGGCGGGTGCCTTCAGCCCTGTGAGATATATCCCAGTGAGACACGAGTTCCCACAGGCCTGCAGCTGGGCCTGGTGCTAAGCCCGGGCCACCCATTCATCTCAGTGACTTCAGCCGGGGAGCGAGCCAGGCCTCTGCTCAACACCCCAACAGTCCCCAGAGGGCCTCGGAGAAGCATCCGAGGGGCCCACTCATGTCTCTGTGGACAGAACTGTCCATAACAGGTACCAAAGCGGCCCCCTCCTAACTTGGCACAGGTAGAGAGCGCAGCAGGGTGGGAAGTCTCTGGGTCCGAGCCCTTGGAGCTCTGCTCCTCGGCTGCGAAGGACATCCTTGCCGGCTTGTTCCCTCCACCGCCAGTACTGTACACTTGCCGCTCCATCCCTTCTGCCTGGTGACTTCCTGTGCAAACGTGGATCTACGTGCCAAGTGGGACTGTGGCCCCGTGCGTGGGTGTCTCTCCGTGAGTGTGTACGTCTGTGTACAACCTTTGAGAATCTTGACGCAGAGCTCTCTGGAAAGAGAACCATCCATGTAGCTAAAGAATTAGGATTCCCTCACTTTTTTGAGGGCCGCGTGCTGTTGAGAAATTGCATTTGTGTGTGTGCGCGTGCACGCGTGTGAGTGTTGCTAATTTCCCACTTGAACTAAGTAAAATGGGGTTCGAGAAGCAGAACACCAGGCAGGCTGTCTCCATTGTACACGTCCTTGGCATCGGGCAGGCCCCCCCGGGGACTCACAGCTTCTGGCAGCAAGTGTGTCTTCATACACACAATTCTGGCTGGAGAGTGCAATGTGTCTTTATTTTTTGTTTTTTGTAATTATTTTATTAAGTATGTAGTTGGAAACTTCACACTGGCATTAACAGATCTAGCAGAAGCAGCCCAGGCCACCGTCCCAGCTCCCACGTAAAGGTGTGGGAGAGAGACCGCGGGGCATGGGAGTGCGGGCCGAGGGGCGTCAGCTGGGCCGCCGCCCGCAGGCGTGTTGGGCAGCAGCCCGGTTCCCACCCACTGCTGTGCGCGCCATCACCGGGGGAAGCCGCTGTAAGGAAAGAGCTGCTGACCCTCAGTGCCTGTGTTTGGGGTGGGGGCAGGCTGCTCGGGGTGAGAACCTGCTCCCTGTGAGCTCGGCGGGCAGCTGTGCGTGTGCGTCAGCACCTCGGTCTAGACGTCAGGCCCGTCGGACACCACGGGAACAGTGCGGAGGGATCCCCCTCGACTTTACTGAGATTTTTGCCTAAATCATGATCCTTGTGTGGGGCAGCCTCTCCGGTTCGCATGCTCCATGATGTTAGCCACGCTGAGGTCAGCTTTCCTCCGGTTCTGTCCTGTGCACCTGGGCTCCCAGACGAGAAACGGGGCACGTTGGCCCTCACGGACTGGGCAGGGGTCTCTACCTTCCAAAACCCGATCCCAACCCGCCTGTAAGGTTGAGAGGCCCCCCTACCCCAGTCCTATCTTTTTAATCTTAAGTTTGCACTTGACCTTGACAATCAGCCCCCTCTCCCACCCCAGTCCTAGAACTTAGTGGCCTTAGAGAACAGGTCCCTGCGCTAAAGGTCCCTCCTTTGCCCCCAGTTCCATCCGGCTAATGGGGCTGGACTTCAGGAGGTGAGAGAGACAGAGGAAGGAAGGATTGTTTTAAAGCAAAAGGAAGGCTCGAGCACGTTGGAAGTGAGCGAGAGGCACGTCGGCGAGAGGAGTATGTGCACGTGTGGCATGTTGGGGTGTCTGGGACTGCCGTCCCCTCCCGGGGAAGGTGGCTTCCAGAAGAGGATGTCTTCTGGGCAGAGAGGGAAGTGTGAGAAGGCCGAGAGAGGGTTTGGAGTCTGGAGTTTTGTCTTTATAAAGAAGGAAACAGTTGATTCTGAATGTTCCAGGAAGAAGTGAGCAGGTAAGGAGGGAATTTAGTGATTCAACACCCAAGGATCCAGCCAGAGCTGGCTGGGAAGGCCGCAGGATTCGGCCATGAAAGCAGCCAGCCAGAGGGAACAGCTCCTCTACTCGCTGTGCCACAGGCGGGGTCCCCAGCAGGTTCTCGCTGAATGGCCACTGGATTCCTCAGTGGAGAGGGGAGGTCACCAGCAACAAACTGTGTTTGAGTTTGGAGGCCCTGGCTCCAGCGCATTCCTCCATCTCCCAAGTCCCTGGCTGGTTTTGCCCACCTTCCTTTGTCCAGTCCAGAGCTGGCCTCTCAAACTGCTTGAAGCGGAGACTAGTGACCGAATGGGCCATGTGGTCAGGACTCGCCACCCCCGGACCGGAGCCTCGGGGTCCAGGACCCCAGGGTTGTTCTCAAGTATCCCTGGTGACACCTGCGGTTTTCAGTTTGCTGAGCCCGCCCCCCTGGAGGGACTTGGAAGAGGGGGTCCAATGCGCACTCATCTGCGAGCACGCCCTCTGGTTTCTAGTGGCCTATGGCCAAGACACACTGCTCTTAAGTGTTTATTCCAGAGAGGAAGGTAAACAGATGCACCATTCTCGAATCTGCATCTGGTCTAGTCACGGCAGTCCACGGGAAGGTGGCATCCGAGCGGCGTGGGTGTGAGGGGGAGGCCCCCGAGACGTGGGTTTGCGGACTGACGGCCTGCCTGTGAACTGCTGGATGTCTCTGGGCTCCAGAACTTCGGGGGATTCCCGTGGTGTCCGCTTGACCCCTCCCAGCTCCTGCTGGGCTCTGTCGGGGTCGGGAGGAGGTGATTTCCTCTCCCACCCCGCAGAGAAGCTGAAGGAAAGGACATTGAATTCAGTGCAGTCAACCTGAGTGCTAAAAAATTCCCAGGATCCATGGTGGTGCTAAACTCTTTCCATGTTTCTAATATTTTTAATTGTGGGTTTTGTTCTCATCACAAAAAAAGCGGTGTCCTTGGGGACAGGACCCAGCCCCTTGACCTGCCACTTTCCAGGTGTCCGTCGTCACCGGGACGGGACGCTCTGGTCTGCAGAAACACTCTGTTGTGGCATGCTTCTAGACTGTAAGATTTGGGTTGTTTTGTTTTGTATTTTGTTTATGTTTACATGCATCTTCTTGTATTTCCCAGAAAATCAAATAAAGTTTTTGGCCTTTTTAACTGCACAGAATCAATCACCTCTTAATTCTCCCTGATGCCAGGAAATCCCCCAGTTGAATGGCAAACTTATCGCCAATGCAGAATGAACTTCAGGATCTGGCCCCAAGGACACTGTGGGGGGCGGGGGCGGGGCAGGTAAGTTCCCACCATTGCTGGTGAGAATCCTGCTCCAGCTCCTCCCCCTTCACCGCCTTCACCTTGGCGAAGCCTTCTGGGCTATGGCACCAGGGCTTTCAAAAAGATGCAGATCTCAGGGTGGGGGTGGGCAAAGACCCACATCCAGCCGGCCTAGCTGGTCCCTCAGTTGGAGCCCCCGACCCTCCCCACTTCTGCTGGACTCTAGTACAGGGTTGGGCAGTCCTGATGTAGCCCAGGCAGAGACGGGGCAGCCAGCCAGATGTACTCATCTAGAAAGTTCCTCTAAAAGTCTCTGGCCAGAGGCCTCCCTTTTCTGCCCAGCTGTGCCACCCATTTGGTAGAGGCCTCAGCATCCGCCAATGGGCCCTCAGGTGAGGGGCAGGGGCAGGGGCCAGGGGTGGGGAGGCCCTGTCCCAGAGGAGCTCAGCACCATCCCTGTGGACCTAAGGTGCTGTCATCCTTCCACTAGCCCCTAGGGGGCGATGCAGGCCAGGTTTGGGCCCAGCTTGCAGGGCCGGATGGAGTAGAGCAGGCCTCAGGGACTCCCGCTGCTCCTGCCCCAGCAAACACTGGTTCTCAACAGCCCAGGGACCTGAGGCTACTAAATGGCAGTGGCTTCTCCCTTTCAACTTACAAGGCTCACCTGGCATTCTGGCCTCCCGTTGTTCAAGCCCCAGGCTAGGTCATGATCCAGCCCCCGACTCCAGGGAGATGACCCTGATCGTTGACTCCCCTGGATACCGGCCCTCCATCACCAACCCCCTACTCACACATGCTGGCCCACACACACATAGGTGCTCCCCCGCCCCCCACCCACTACACTGCACAGCACAGCCCTCAGGCTGGTACAAATCACCTTTATTGACAATCACAGCGACCGACCCGACGGGAGTTCACAAAGGAGGCACAGCTACCCCGCACTAACAGACAACAGGACAATGACTTCCTCTCCCCCACCCTCAGGCCTGGCAGCCCCTGCACTTCACACCTATCCTTGCCTCAGAAATGGGGCCCTTGACTAGTCGGGGCCACTGCCTCCCCCACCCCACCCCCACAGAAGGGGTGGCCGGGGGCCAGAACCTGGGGAGGCCACAGCAGAACTACCACTTCCCAAAGGCCCACTGCAAGGCAAGGACGAAGGCCCCTCCTGGCCCTCACTGCTGTCCCACCACACCACACCACACCGCAGCACCCCATCACGGCCCCTCGCCAAAGAGCTCCAAAGAGTCACACGGTCTTCCCTGCTCCCCAAGCAATCCTTTTACGGAGGAGGCGCGGAGGGGCTCCGGCCCAGCCAGGCGGCACAACTGGTCAGTAGGTCACCAGGTCCAGAGCCCCATGCTCTGCCAGCCACAGGGAGAAGCGGTCTCGGATGGATGTAAAAGGCATCTTGAGGGGACAGAGGGCCAGGAGGCCGCGGGGAGACTAGGCCAAAACTGCTGAGAGCTGGCCCCAGCCCACGGCCTATAAGGACAGGGCAGGCAGGGCAGAGCTGAGAGGTGGGGTACCTGCAGCCCAAGAACAGGTGGGGTGCTCCCTCACCCCAGAACCAGGAGTAACCACCCAGAAGTGCTGGGTCCCAGCCCCTGCCCTCTCATCTTCCCTGGGGGTGGCGGGGCTAAGAACAGGCTCCCCCCTTCAGCCTTCCCAGGTCCCTTCCCAGGTCCCAGGCCTCCAGACGTGTCAAAGCCAACCGTGAGAGCCTGCTGCAGCCCGGGGAGAGGCACTCCATGGCTCTGCGTGAGCCACCCGCCCCAGGGAATCACGGAGCCTCAGTTTGCCTTGGTGTAAAATGGACACAACCTGCAAGGAGGCCTCCCTATTCAGCCCCTTTTTAAGGCGTTCTGATTCACGGTAAGCAGAGCTAACTGTGGACTTTCAGGCTGGAGTCTGGGAAACGTTGCCCTTTCTGGCCAAGCATCCTGCACACCAGGGCAGCACTTCCAGGGGCCTGAGGGATGGGAACACACCTCCGCCACAAAGACTCCATATAAATAAGTTAATTAAAGTAAAGAAAAAGGCTGGCCTTTCTCCAAGAAACTGCCCTGGCCCCAGCCCGCGCCCTGGCCTCTCCTGGGGATGCCACCGCAGCTCAGCGTCAGCCAGGCCCAGGCCAGCACTGAGATGCAGGAGGACCGGCCACCAGTCACCGAAAACAGATGCAAACCTGTTCCCAGAGACCCTGACAGACGACAGACCCTGCTCTCCAGCCCACACCAGGGGCCAGACAATTGGGGCAGAAAGGCGACAGCCAGGACGGGCCTCTGCATCTCTGCCAGGGCACAGAGCTGGGGACTCGGAACCTGGGGCCGCCTGCAGCCTGCACACTGCCCACCCTGGGCGGGCGGGAGACGGGCATGGTATGGAAGCTGCCACCTGCCCAGTGGGAGGGGGGGTAGCCGCTGGCCTTCTTTCCCCGGGGCTGCCAGGGCCACAGGGCAGGGAAGAGGGAGAGGGTGGGGTAGGTCAGAGTAAGGCCAGCTCGGGCCACCTGCCAGGGCTGCTGCGGCAGCAGAGCAGGCTGTGCACCGCGCACAGGCGGCAGGCTGCGGGAGCGAACAGAGGGGGCTGTCTGGTCCATACTCCATGAGACAAGCCACATGCCCTGGCTCAGGGCCACATCTGCCCAGAGGAAGGGACATACTTTTTAATTCTCACAAAGGTGCCACATGGGCTAGACGGACCTCCTAGAAGTCGGTCCCACGTGGGGAAGGACTGGGACAGTCAGAGACCCCAATGTAACCCCTCTGCATGAAGGGAAGAGCTGGGGGCAGAGAGGGGGAAGCAGACAAAGTGTGGACTCCTTCCCTCCCCAGTCTGCTTCTGGCCCCACCTCCCTGCACAATGCCCCTCTGTTCCCCAAACCTTCAGGAACCTCGGGTTTAATGGAGAAGGAAGAAGAGTTTCCAAAGTGAGGAAGAAGAGAAGGGGCCCCGTTGGTGTGCCCCTTGGCCAGAGCTGGGCCGGAGTCTGAGGAGGTGGGGGTGCAGGGTGGGGCGCCATGTCGGGCTAGGAGCTCCGGTAGGTCTTGATGATGTCCTTGATGGGGCGGCGGCAGATGGGGCAGCAGGCGTGCAGGGCCTTCTTGAGGCGCAGACCGCAGGCATAGCAGACGCACATGTGGCCACATGTGTAGATGACCGTGTCCACTGCGTGCTCGTAGCAAATGGTGCACTCGTCACTCCACTGGCCTGTGCCTGGGGTCACTGGTGACTCGGGAAGGCTCACCGGTGAGTTGGGGGCCGTCCCTGGGTGTGAGAGGACCCCAGTCAAGGGCAGGCTTGGTCCAGCCCAGCCCCAGGTTCACAAGGAGAGAGTGCCCTGGCCTCTTGTTACCCCACCATTGGCCAGAGCTGCCTATCTACTCCAACGACCCAGCTTCCTGCACAGAAGAGGGGAGAAGAGATGTGCTCTGGGCAGCCCCGGGGCTGGCCCCCCGCTCTCAGACCAGGGGCCAGGGTACCCACGCAGCACTGACAGAGAAGGAGAACGGATGGAGGGAGAAAGGGGGCCCAAGATCTTTTAAGGCAGGTCCCACCTGAGCTACCCTTTGGTGTTCCCTGTGTGCTTAAAAAAAAAAAAAAAAGTCCTTTGGAGAAAGGCACCCAGGCAGGGGACAGGACGGGATACTCTCCAGCAATCACCACCGAACAAGGGTTCACTGAGCCCACACCCACCCCTCCAGGGTGCCCGCTCTGGCACAGAGGCTGCATGCCTCCCTCAGCCAGGGTCTCGGGGCCGGGGGTGTGGCACAGACACAATAGACCCGCAGGGCCTGGCCCACTTACCACCAGCAGAGCTCCCCAGGGGTCCCGAGCTGTAAGTGCTGAGCAAGGGGTCGGAGAGGCAGCTGCCCAGGGCACTGGGCGAGGTTGGCGTGGAGGCGGGGGAGCACGGGAGCGATGGGATGCCCCGCTCAGCAAGGATGGTGGAGCCTGCAAGAAGGGAAGGAGGGAAAGCTAGCACCTCGAAGGCCCGCTCGGGGAGAGCTCAGGTCTCTGCCCCTCCGGCAGGCTCCCAGGAGAGAACTTGGGTGCTGCAGTCTGACCGCGCACTCGGGGCAGGATTCCACGGGCTGGCTCGGCATCTCCCCACAGTGCTCCGCTCCCACCTGCAAAGTGGAGGGCCAGGGGTGCTCTGGCGTTGCCACACCAGCAGTCTCCAAACCAGTCCCCGGCCTGAAAGCCCACCTCTGCCCTTCCCCATGCATCCTTCACCTTCCAGGTTGCCCACACCAGACAGCAAAGTCACCTGCCTCCCGCCCAGAATGACCCTTCCGCCCTCGCCTCACCCTCCGCCTCACCCTCCCGTGCAGGCCCTGCACTCCTCGCTCCTCTCCGTCACTGGCCCCAGACACCGCCCACCTTCTCCTCCTCACTGGCGGCCCCTCTGATATGCCCGCACCATCTCCTGCACCCTAGGTGCCACATTCCCGCCCTCCCTCCTTTCCTCACACCTCTCTCTCTCTTCTGCTCCTCACCTTCCCCGTCCCTCCCTCTCCCTCCGGTAAACCCTCTCTGAGGGCCTACCAGGTACCATATGCTGTGTATACACAAAGCTGGGGACAAGACCCACAAAGCTCTTGCCCCCAAACGCTAAGGATCCAGGGAGCCTCTTGGGAGCTCACCTCAAATCCCTTCCTCTGGGAAGCCTCAGCCCTGCCCCCCACCCCCACCACACTATTCTCTTTAGCACTGACTGACCAGCCACGCACACCACGTGCAAAGGGTTAAAGCACCACAGATGCTGGGGTGTGATGTGTCCTTTGGCCTGGAACGAAGCTTTGCTTCTCCGGTTACACCATGAGCCTCCTGAGAGCAGGAAATCGTCGCCCGTGACTCCCCATGGTCCCTGACATAATGCCCTCCGTACAAGGAAGTAGTCTATTACTAGTTATCTGTTCTAATCCATCTATTAGTCATTGTTTCTAGGAACATCCATTGGATATCCAGAAGGTTTCTCTTATTAGTGTTAATAGTTTTCAAGTTAATTATTATCCCCTGTAGAAATTCCTACCTCCTACTGGCTTTTCTTACCTTATTGCACTGACTAGCATTTTCAGAACAAAACTGAAAGGCATTCCTTTCATATTCCTGACTGTAATGAGAATACTTCTAGTGGTTCACCATTAACTAGGAAATTGGCTATAGTTTTGGAGTAAAAAAAAAAATAGCCTTCCATTCTTAGTTTACTTAGGCCTTGGACGAAGCAAAGCATCCCTCTATAAGGTAAACAGTTCCCCTTCGCCCACTGGCCCTGACTCATTTTTCTTTTGGAGTCAGTCAGGGTCGCCTCACACCAGCCCGCTGGCTGAGACAGCCAACTCTCCTAACAGCTCAGGGGCACTCCATGGAGTGTGCATTGGATTCCAAACGATTGTACTTCAACACCCATCTTGGCCACTTACCCCTGGGGACAGTGAAGTCCCGATTTTTTTTTTTAAGCTTCTTCCTTGCTCCAGTCAAGTAAGCCCCTTGGGCAACAGAAGCCTCCCAGGAAAGCTCCTTATCTGTTATTGGATGGAGGTGAGGCGAGAGCGTGCCTTGCCCTTACGTAATTGACTTCATCTGAGCAGCGGTGTCCTGGGTGAGTCTAACCAAGTGTCTTTTCACCCCAGGCTGGATTTTTTTCTGCACCCGAGTCCGATTTCTTTTTATTCCATCCTGAATTTTCACCCCCAGCTTCCTTCCTTCCTGATGTCTTTCATCTCGCTTGGTTTCTTTTCATTCTTTCCTGAGTTATCTTCCCCTCATCCTAACTTCTTGCCCTGCTGGCCTCATTTCTTTTTAAATGTATTTCTAAGGCCATCTTCATTCGGTCTCTGGAACAGAGTGGGAAGTTCCCACTGATTGTATCCGATCTCTCACACACCCCTGCACTCGCCACCAGCACTGCATCCACACATGCATGTATGCAACTAGTTACTCACATGCGCCTGCACTCAGCCCGCCAGCCTTACAGTGTAACTCATGCTCACACACACACACATTATCTCGCCTATGAAGCCACCCAGGGTGAGGGGTAGGCTGGGGGCTGTAAGGCCCAGGGGTCTCCAAACTTGCCTAAGCGAACTTACTAAAAAAAAAAACACAAATCATATGCCCAGTACCTACCCAAGATCTACAGCATAGGTGGCAAGCACAAGGCCCGTGGGCCGAATCCGGCCCCCCTCCTTGTTTTATCCGGCTCGGCACCATGTTTCTACCCAGCAGCAGCACTGAGCTCTCATTTAACCATTAAGGAGCAGTTACATTTATACAGTCCTAAAATTACATTCGGCCCTTTTAAGGCAACCGCGAGGCTGATGCGGCCCCCGGTGAAAGTGAGTTCGACACCCCTGCCCCACAGGATGGAAACCTCTGAAAGAACTCAAGCATCTGCACTTCAGTGGGCTCTCCAAGCAAGTCCAGTGAAACCAGCCCCATCTGCTGCAAGTGACTGGAGGACCAGCATTTGGAAAGCACGGACACCTGCTCCCTCCGGGCTAAGAGTCCAGAGCAGGGATGTCCAACTCACAGCCCACAATGGCTCTGAATGCAGCCCAGCACAAAATCGTAAATTTACTTAAAATGTTATGAGATTTTTAAAAATTTCTGTGTCACAATGTATTTAATGTGCGGCCCAAGACAACTCTTCTCCCAGTGTGGCCCAGAGACACCAAAAGGCTGGGCACCCCTCTTCCAAAGGGATGCTTTGTGAAAAAAGTTTTCTGGTCAAACTGTTTTCAAATAACCACACTGTAACCACCATCACTCCCTCGCTACAGACTCATACTCCATATTAAAGGCTCTGAGAAGTCTTGCTTTTTAAAATCTCACTATCTCCCAAGCTTTTTTCACCCAAGAGCCCCTTTTCGACAGACCACTAACCCACAGAACACTCCAGGAAACACGGCTTATCCACCCCACATCCAAGTCTGTCCACTCAAACCCAGGACAGCAAGGCTCAGGCTTCTGCAACCCCACTTTCTCCAAAGCCTTCTGCTCAGGGGTTCCCCACAGGGCCCCCAAACCAGGCACCACCCTACACAGGCACCTGGCTACCAACACACCAACCTCTTTTTCTTATCTGTACCCACAACCAAGGTAAAGACAGAAGCCTTTATTACCATTTGGGAGAAATGGAAACTGAGCCCCCAAAAGTTAAATGCTGGTGGAAACACTGTTTTCTCTTTCTAAGGGGCCACCAGAGTGTGTGTACCTGGACTGTTTATAGTATTTACGTGTTCTGGGGAATGTGTGTTAATCAGATTCTGAAAGTGAAACTCAAGCATCTAAGCTCCTCTCCTCTCCCCAGGGTGCGTCTGGTGAGATGCGAGGGCCATGGAGTCCTGCCCAGAACTCATTTCAGTATCTGTGGCTCCTTGGCAACTCCTCGTGATGGGCTGGCCCCTATGTTCCCCCTACCGATCGGCCGGCCCCCTCTTCCAGGAAACGCTCGATGCTGGGTCTGTTGAGGGGGACAGCTGAGGCCAGCCTCGGGGTTCTGTTGAGGCTGGCACGTGGCTGGGAGCACTCACCGAGGAGGCGGATCTGCGTGATGGCCCCATGCAGACCGAAGAGCATCCAGAGTGGCTGCGAGGCGTCCACGCACAGCTGCATGCCCGCAGCAACGCCGTTGTGGCTAAGGTGCAGCTCGCCGTCAGGGTTGACCACCAGGCCGAGGATGTCGCCACTGTGCAGGGGCCCGGGTACGCGGCACACGGCCCAGAACTCCTTGCGGTCCACCAGGGCCTCGGGGCTGAAGGGCAGATCGGCAGGCCTCAGCGTGCCGGGGTCGCACGTGGTGACGCCAAAGGAGAGCGCGCCAGGTCTTGCACCGCTCGAGCGCGTGACCTTGACGAAGATGGTCTCGGCCACGCGCACCGGCCGGCTGGTGAAGACGAGCGCGCGCTCGTCGCGCCCGTGCTCCAGGCGCGCCACCGTCTGCTCGTCCAGAATCCGGACGTGCGCGCCGGCGCGCAGCGCGTGGAAGCGCAGGTCGCCGTCGAGCTGCGCGGGGAGAGCGCGGCTGTGCTGCGAGTTGAGCGAGTTCTGCGGGATGGGGCAGCCAGGGGGCGGCGTGGCCTCGTCGCCTTCCCCCGCCGGCACGTTGAGGTCGCACAGGCTCACGGACAGGCGCGCGTCGTCCGCCTCGCGCCGCAGCGACGGCCTCCGCAGGGCGGTGAAGGAGCGCGGCCGCAGGCAGTCGGGCAGCACCAGCTCGCTGTCTGTGACCAGGGAGGGGAGAGAGCGGGCACCGTCAGGCGAGCCAAGGAGTCAGTCCCCATCGCCTGCGCCCATCCTCCAACTAGCCTTACAAAACACTGGACTTTTAAAGGCATTGAAAATGCACAGGACTAAGGAGCAAACGGGCAACCAAAGTTGTGCAGAATATCTACTTGCTTAAGCAAAGGATTACAGCTAGAAGGAAAGACACCGAAATTGAAACCAAGGGTCTTGAATCCTAGCTGTAGAAATCACCTCTCTCTACAGGCCTCCATAGACCCAGCCTCCCCCCTCAACCCCGAGGCAGCAGAAGACCATAGCCGGGGCCTGTCTAGTGGTCACAACGTCCCCGGCAAGCTAAAGATAACATCTTGACCTAAGTTCTGTTTCAGCTCCTGAGCCCTCAGGTGGAAACACCTCCTGGCTGTTTTTCCATGAAACCAGACAGAGGGATGCCAGAGCTGACCTCAAAACTGTTGGCCTCAGAGCTGTTGTCAAGACCTGAAGGAAGGATTTATTGCCTTTACCTCACTTTCGACCAATCAGCCCAATCAGCTTTCAGCACAATCTGGAACACCCCCCCAACACACACACACACACACACACACACACACACACACACACACACCGACTTGTGATTTTGCCCTTTATAATCTGTAACTTAGACTCCACTGGGGAGCTGGGTCTTTAGAGGATTGCCGATTCACTATTAAACTTTTTCTTTCTGTGCTATGGACTCCTCCTGCTCGTGCATTTCTTTTGGGCCACTGCGCACAGAGGGACTCAAATACTGGGGTCCTGGTAACAAAATGAGAAACTATGATGACTTCTAAATGGTACGCTTATAAAAGATATTTTTACAATTTAACTCCTGTGGCCCTCTCTTTATCCTCGGCAACTGGAACAGCCTGAGCACTTCGCAGGCGAGCAGTAAATAAGCGTGTTGAACGCACCGCTGACAGCCCCAGAACTCCTCTTTGCATAAATTGTCTCATCTTGTCCCAGCAATTACCTTTTGAAGTTACTGTTGCCACATAAGGACACTGCAGCTGAGAGAAATTGAGCAAATTTATCCAAGCTATCCTCTTTGAAAGTGACTTAATAGGAAATCAAAACCTGTCTCTTTTTAATCATACAAGCCGTACAGACTGTATTTTGTAGAAAAGATAGTTCAACAAAAAAGGAAAAATAATTGCCTGTCAACCCACCATCCAGAGAAAAATACTATGAATATTTGGGTGCACAACCTTGCTGTCTTGTTTTCTTTTAATATAATTTTTGCTTACATTTTTAATGCAAAAATTGAATCATGCTATATAAACACCTGTAGTTTTTAACCGTGTATGGCTATCAAATCCCTTTGAAAATGTGATAACTCTGACCTGTCCCCTCCATAGAAAAATGCACATTCTCCCTAAATTTTGTGGATAATTTTAGAGCATCCGTGAATCACATAAAGCCATCCACAGGCATAGACTCCAGACTAAGAACACTGCTATAAAGATTTCCTTTTCAAAGCTGGAATCTTTTCTGCTCACTATGTCCTGAATATTTTTTCATGCCAACGACTATGTTTCTAACACTGTATATATACATACATATATACATATATATATATTTTTTTAATCCTTGCCCAAAGATATGTTTTTATTGCTTTTAGAGAGAGAGGAAGGGAAGGACGGGGGGAAGAGAGAGAGAGAGAGAGGGAAACATTGATGTGAGAAACATCCATCTGTTGCCTCCAGTACGCGCCCAGACTGGGGATTGAACCTACAACCTCTTTTGGTGTACAGGCAGACCCTCCAGCCAACTGAACCACCTGGCCAGGGCTCACACTGTATCTTTTAATGGCTGTGTCACGTCCAGCTGTGTGAAGCCCTGTAATTTACAGTAAAAGTCATTGTGCACCATGAATCCTGCCTGCATTTCGTCCTTAAAGCTTCCTGTGGAGGCATTCCCACCGCACAGACGAAGCTCAGAGGTGTTACGTGACAGAAGCCAAGTGGCAGATCCAGGACTGAGCAAGGTCTGTCCGACTCCCGATGCCACAGTCTTCACTTCAGGCCCTTCTTCTTATTGAACCCCTTCTGTGGGAGTCCCCAAATCTGGCTAATGCCACCATAGGCCACATCACGGGCCAACGCCTCCCAGGGGGTCTTTTCTCTGAGCCTCCCCACAGGAGGAATCGTGCTTTCTCTCCGGGAACTCGGTAAGGATGGCTGGGGTGCTCGGTGTGAGAAAAGAAGTTGGGGGACTGGACTGGTATGGCCAGCAGAGGCCAGAACCCAGCTCTGGCTGAACCTAGAGACAGCCTCTGAAGCCTCCCTAATTTTGTTCCCTCCCACCCATCCCCCTGCCCTTTCCAGGCACAGCGGGGTTTGGGCTCAAGCAAGGGGAGGGTGCCCGGCCCTTCCCTAAGTGCCCTGTTTCTCTGGAGAAGCCTCTTGGGGCCTGGCTGGTTGGGATTTCCCAGCATCGTGCTTGGCAAGGAGAAGGGAGCCGACCGGAAAATGCGATTATTCCAGGGAATTGACCCTGTGACAGCGAAGGCGCAGACAGGCTAGGGGGCTGCGGAGAGGCAGAGGCGAGGGGGGCCTGAGCAGGAGGGGGAGGCACGGGAGACAGAGCAGGGACCTAGGGAAGGCTGTGGGTTGACCTAGACCACAGGGAACACGCCCGGCTCCCCAACCCCTCAGGGATTCCAGACAGTGGCCTTGAGGACTCCAGAGGTTTGGAGACAGGGAGGGGAAGGAGCTGGGACAGTGAAGTGAGGAGGAACAAGGGCTCAGAGATGCCCAGCCAGGGCCCACGGGAACAAGGCCATCAGAGGGACCCACGCACATGGGCACCCCTACACTCCTCTCCCTGCCCCCACACACCCAGGACAATCAGTCGGAGCCCATGGAGCGGGGCAGACCCTCAAAACAGTCAGAGTGAGCCCAGGTGTGCGTTATCCTGGTCTCTGCCCCTTCTACCTGAATAGGGGGCCCTCTTCTACGTGAATATGCCCACTGCTGGGTGCTCACTGCCTCCCAGGCGACCTGTGGCGTCGTTGAGCTCCTCGGACTTTTAAAAAGTGTTTTCTTCTCTTAAAACTAAGGTACACCTCCTTGTATTTATGCCCACTTCTTCAGCCCGTACTGAAAACAACTCTCTTCAGGGAGTACTCAGAGTCCTCGCACAGCCTTCCCACCTGTCAGAGGATGAACAGAGCCGGACTCCGGACTCCAGAGGTGCCCTGACCAGCTCAAGGCAGTGTGGCCATCACCTCCCTGGAGACATGCACTATACTTCTAATAATGCAACCAAAGAGTAGTTCAGGTTTTTTAGTAACCAGTCTCCAAACACTGGGAAGCAAGATAGGGGCATAAGTGCAACAACTTTGAAGTCAGCAGCTTGGGTTCAAATCCTGGCTCTGCCATTTCCTAGTTGTACAACCTCGGATAAATAGCTTAACCTCCCCAGGCCCCTCTTCTTCAGCAGTGAAACCAGCATTTACTGACTGGTACAAAGTCTGTGTTCTCATACTCCCCTCGGAAGGGATGCTGTGAAGATGAAGTGGAATGAGGCCCACGGGGCACCTAGTAGGCACCTGGCATGCAGTAACCACTGGGTTGAAAGGAGCCAACCAGGTATTATCTTTTACATGCCAGGCAGATGAGAAGAAAGTACCTGGACTCTGAGGTAAGGCAGGCATGGGTTTCAACGTCCACTCCAGTGTTTGGCCGGTGGCCTGGGGGTGAGCAGCCTGCCCCCTCAGGTCGGTCACAGCAAGAACAGGCGTGACGATAGCTGCCTTTCAGCGTTGGCACAGGGGTCAGAGGCAGCGTGGGATGCCCCTCCGCCCCCTGCGGCACTGGAAAACTTCAGATGTTAGTGTTGGCTCAGGTCGAGCTTGCCGACCGAAGTCAGGTCCACTGGCACTCAGGCAGTGAACTCCTTGAACCCAGGTGCCGGACTTTACAGCGGTCACCGTGGACCCCCAAGACAAAAACCACTGAGTGACATCGCTGCCTCAAGACCAGGAAGGAGAACCTACCAGCGGAGATTTAAGGAGAAAGAAGGAGAGGAAGGAGGAGCAGTGGGGGGTAGGAAGAGAGGAGAAGAGGCAGGAAAATGTTGGCCTTGCTTGAAATACTGCAGGAGTCAGGAGACGCTGGGAAACAGCTAAAAACGGAACCCCTGGGGCCAGTGCCCAGGCCGACCATGTCTTCTCCCCCATCCCCTCCACCTCTTGAGGACGGGAGCAGCTGCAGGCCACCAGCAAGCTCCAAAATAACTGCCCCGTCGGTGTGCCCAGCTTGCCAGGGCCCTGAAATAGATGGAACTTGAGATCCGGGATCGGGTCAGAGCCCCCCCCCCGACCCAGAGGGACAGCCAGGGTCACAGCTGGGTGAGTGAACATCAACTGAGAGGTCAGGGAAGGGTCCCCACTCCCAAAGCCAGGGGAGAACACCATGGGACCAGCCGCAGCCCAGGACTGAGCCCTGGGAGGCAGCTTGGAAAAACCAGACAGGCCACCTATAACCCCAAGCAGTGGGACGGCCCCACATTTGGAAGCAACAAGTTATGTAATCTGTGCCTGGGAGGCACAGCTGCCCACTTTGGAGGTTTTATGATGGGGGAGGGGTGGCACAAGGCTGTGGGAGAAGCTGCTAAGCTGGCCCCCCTCTCCTGTCCCCTTTTTCAGGAAGGCATTTGCTTGTCTTCAGCTCCTGCCTAATCTGGTGCCTGGCGGTGGCTCTGCAGATCCCCTGGGCAGGGCAGAAACAACCAGGCCCTGCACAGGGCAGGGTGGCACGCAGGGCGACCCACTCACTGACCCACAGTGCGCCCAACCCTGGGCAGGGGTCAGGGAGAGAGGGAGGAGCCGGGGCCCGGGCCCTGGAGAGCCAGGAGCCCTTAGACGGTTTGAAGCTTGGAGGCATGAAAATACTTGAGTACAATTTCATTACAAAAATTCTTAGATTCTCGGGTTAGACAGGACCTTAAGGAAGAAGGG